CATTCAAATGCCCTGGCCCTTCCTTTGATCTGTTCCTTTGCAAAGGAAGGATGAAAGGGCCTCCTCTGTTTGGGTTGTCTTAGTTACCCCAGGAGGCTCAACTGAGCCAGAGCCCAGCAACCTTCAAATCAACCCACAAATACAGAGGGGAGTCCCTAAGGCAGTTGGATGGTGCATTGAAAGCCTCCTTCCACCAACTCTTGCAGCCAAGCTGGTCTCAAATGTCTTGTTCCGCTTTCCTTTGGATCAGCAAGGCTAGGGAGGGGCGTATCGTGTCGACTGGGCAACCCAGGACTTCCAGACACACTGCCCAGGCTTAAATGCCAGGAAGGTCACACCCCCAGAGGCACACTCCATTGTCTCTCGAGACAGACAGGTGCCAGCAACAACCCCACCTTTGGGCACAAGATGGAAGTACTATTCTTGGGGGACAGGGGGCGGGCGGGTGTGGAGGACTCCCTGGTCCTGAATGGGGCAACTGTGCCCCTGAAGGACCAGGTGCGCAGCCTGGGAGTCATTCTGGACTCATTCTGGTCTTGCCAGGATTCAGCCTCAATCCGTTAGCCGCCATCCATCCTCCAGCCGCCTCCAGACACTCACACAGGACCTTCACCACCTTCACTGGTTCTAATTTGAAAGAGAAGTAGAGCTGGGTATCATCTGCATATTGATGGACACCCAGCCCAAACCCCCTGATGATCTCTCCCAGCAGCTTCATATAGATATTAAAAAGCATGGGGGAGAGGACAGAACCCTGAGGCACCCCACAAGTGAGAGCCCAGGGGTCTGAACACTCATCCCCCACCACCACTTTCTGAACATGGCCCAGGAGGAAGGAGCGGAACCACTGTATGACAGTGCCCCCAGCTCCCAGCCCCTCAAGACGGTCCAGAAGGATGTTATGGTTGATGGTAGTAGCCATAGATAGCTCTTCTCTCCCGTGAATTTGTCTCTCCCTCTTTTTAAGCCCTCCCGAGTTGTCAACCATCGCTGCCTCCTGTGGCAGAGAGTTCCACAGTTGAACCCTGCACTGTGCAAAGAGGTATTTCCCCCCCTGCTGCCTCGTATTTCACAGTGCGGAGGAGACATGCAGGCACCCAGACGTAAGTTGAACGTGTGCCAGGTTGTGAGAGACGCAGAGAGAATGGCTCTTTGTACTCTCTGCCAGCGTCATGTTCGGAGGTACACAGGCGAGAATGTCAGGCTCCAGGTGTGATCATGCACACCTTCCCCTGGGGTGCCACCCACTTTGGCACAAATCGAGGCACGCTTGCCTTAGGGAGGAAGGCATTCCATTCCTGGAACGATAGAGCTATAGCAGTTTCGGCCGGCGCAGCGATACTGCAGCGGGGCGGGAAACCTGCACAGGTCGAATTTATTTGGAACATGGCTACATTCCACCTCTTTCAAGAAGAAATTCTTGATGGGTAATAACCAAAAGCAACAAGAACCCCTTAGGGCAGGCATCCCCAACCTTCGATCCTCCAGATGTTTTGGACTACAATTCCCATTCTTCACAGCCTAAGACCCTTGTACCTACGGGACCGCCTCTCCCGGTCAGCCCCGCGGAGGACCTTAAGGTCCATAAATAGCAACACCCTAGAGGTCCCGGGCCCTAAGGAAGTCAAATTAGCCTCAACCAGAGCCAGGGCCTTTTCAGCACTGGCCCCGGCCTGGTGGAACGCTCTGCCTCATGAGACCAAGGCCCTGCAGGATCTGATTTCTTTCCATAGGGCCTGTAAGACAGAGTTGTTCCACCTGGCTTTTAGCCTGGAATCCACTTGATCCCCTTCCCCTCTTTCCTTTTTCCTTTCTCCTCCTGTGATGGAACTCCTATTTGGGGACTTCCTTGGCTTTTTTCTGGCCCACGTAGGACCAGTCTGGATAGTTAGCCTTGGTGAAGACTTGACGTTTTCATCCCCCAAAAAGTTTTTGAGTTTCTGCTGAAATGAGGCTGCATTTTAATGTTGTATTTTAATCTTTTTTTAAAGTTGTATTTCAATCAATTGTTTTATATATCTGGTGTTAGCCGCCCTGAGCCCGGTCTTGGCTGGGGAGGGCAGGGTATAAATAAAATTTATTATTATTATTATTAGTAGTAGTAATAGTAGTAGTAGTATTTCAAATAAAAGGACACATTCTACTCATGTAAAAATACTCTGATTCCTGGACCGTTCACAGTCTGGATTTAGAAGGCGATTGGGCCAGATCCGGCCCCCAGGCCTTAGGTTGCCTACCCATGGTCTGGACTAAGGATTCTGAGCTCCTGTGTTCTTATCCAATATGTCCAATCGCAGAACATTTCAGGATTTGGGCCTCTGCCATTGGCCCTTGAACTCTGAGTCGTGATTCGCAGCTTGGAAGTTTAGATAGCCAATCGCACTGGGAGTGGGAGTGGCCCAGGCTTTCAGGAATGTACCGTATTTTGCGCCCCCTAATTTTTTGGGGGGGGAAATAAAGGGGAAAAAATTATTTTCCCCCAGGTGTGGGGCTGGAAGAACCAGGTCGGGGAACAGCGGGAAGGCGCGCTCCGCCTCCCCGCTGTCCCCCGAGCTTGTGGGACTGGCGATGGGGAGAAGTGCGCTGAGCCCGGGACGGGAGGCAGCTCTGCGCAGCCATCGGGAGCTGGGCGGGACTTCGCGCCCTGCTCATGATGGCCGTGCAGAGCTGCGCTGAGCCCGGGACTGCGGGCAGCTCTGCGCAACCCTAGGAGCCGGTCTCCCGAGGGTTGCGCAGAGCTTCCTGAAGCCTGGAGAGCGAGAGGGGTCGGTGTGCACCGACCCCTCTCGCTCTCCAGGCTTCAGCGAAAGCCTGCATTTGCCCCATAGGACGCACACACATTTCCCCTTCATTTTTGGAGGGGAAAATGTGCGTCCTATAGGGCGAAAAATACGGTATATAAACAGCTGCTTTGCCCCTGTTTCCCAGTTATGTAGTTCAATAAAGGTTCTTGCTATTATCCCTGTGCCTTGCCTCATGGCACCCACCTATACTTCACTGGCATTTGGGGTCGGAGTTTTCTGGGTCTGGATTTTTCTTGTCCTGAATTAAAAAGAGGCAAGGGGGTGCCTCTGCCTCTAATAATAATAATCATAATAATATGATTAGACCTACATTGACCTACATTGGCTCCCAGTACGTTTCCGAGCACAATTCAAAGTGTTGGTGCTGACCTTCAAAGCCCTAAATGGCCTCGGTCCACTATACCTGAAGGAGAGGTCCAGCCCCGAGGGCCTTCTGGCGGTTCCCTCATTGCGAGAAGCAAAGCTCCAGAGAACCAGGCAGAGGGCCTTCTCGGTGGTGGTGCCCTCCCTGTGGAACGCCCTCCCATCAGATGTCAAAGAGATAAACAACTACCTGACATTCAGAAGACATCTTAAGGCAGCCCTGTTCAGGGAAGTTTTTAGTGTGTGACATATTAGTGTATTTTTGGTCTTTGTTGGAAGCCGCCCAGAGTGGCTGGGGAAACCCAGCCAGATGGGCGGGGTACAAATACATTATTCTTATTCATGGAAGAAATTTAAAGACTATTTACAGAGATATTGTAAAATTAATGAATGTTAGAATAATGTTGGATTGATAGTGGTTTCTAGCTGTAATGGGATAAAAGAATATGAAAAAATGGTTTTTTATAAGTAAAAATTTAATGTTATGATAACTTAAGATTAAAGATCTGGGTAGAATAAAGAGGGAAAGAAACTGCTAAGCTAATAAATTGAACTGGAATACAAAAAAGGGAGGTACGAGGAGGTCCGGGAAACAAGTTAATGAAAAATAATGTGATGAAAAGATTGATTGTTTTTAACTATTTTTATTTTGTATTTTTTCTTTTTCTTTTTCTATTTTGTAATGTAAAAACCCTAATAAAATTTTTATAAAAAAAACAAATAAATTATTCTTATTCTTATTCTTATTATTCTTGTTCTTATTCTTATTCTTATTATTTATACCCCACCCATCTGGCTGGGTTTCATGTCATCTGGCTCCAACCAGACCTGATAGAATAGCTTCAAACAACTGGCAACTTCCTAAACTACCTAGGCTTTGCAAACAGCTCAGCAATCCTTTATCAGCACCAGGGCAAAAGCCAAGGACTCCATGGTTTGTCTCAGCCCAAAGCTATCCAGACCCATCTAGTTGCAGGCTGAGCAGCCTAGTCAGAGCTGGGTTCAAATCCCACGTGAGTCATTCACCTCTTATCTGGTGCTGATAACACCCGAAAAGTTCACTTTTATTAATCTTCTTTTATTAATCTTCTGCATCTCAGAGGCCCTGATCCAGCTGATAGCTGCAGGAAACAGAACGCTAGGTGCAATGGATCTTTGGCCTGATCCAGCCTTCCCCAACCAGGTGCCCTCCAGAAGTTTCAGAGGAGCCACAAAGCTTCGAGGCCGCTTTACTTTCAAAAAGTTCTTTTGTTTTCATGTCAGCGTGTGCAAGCTTCGGAGCTACACAGCAGTCTGCGTCAGGTGTCGTTTATTTATTATTAAATGTGTCCACCCATCAACAGAATCATTTAGGCAGCTTGCGAAGGAAAAACAAACAAACACCATAGGGTGTATTTTTAAAAGACACAATAATGAAAACCAAATCTCCAAATGAATCCGAATTTCAATGTCTAAAATCCCTGGTAGAGGACAAGGCTCCTGAGATCACATTAAGGGTAGCCAAGTTCTGTGCTATTGCCATAAAATTAAGGGAGCAAGCTATGCTATCATAATGATTAAGGTTTTAAATGATAATTTTAGGTTATATGTTAGTGAGTAAGTTTTAATTTATATATTTTTATCTGTTGCTATGTCTGTATTGTCCCTGTTACACCTAATTGGAAATTCAAATGTATCCCTATCATGTTTTATGATTTCCTTGATATTGTATGTGGGCTGGAACTGGTCTGGGACCGAAATAATAAAAATTCAAATAATGAAAACCATAAAAATCTGTGCAAAAATAACAAACTGTCCCCCTCCTCTCTCTCTCTCTCTCTTTCCCCCTTCCAGTGTCTCTCTGCTTCGGATATTTTTACACTCACAAAGAGAAAAACTCCCAGAGATGCCAACCTCACATCCTCGGAGCTGTTGCTGTTCTCCGCTGGCCTGGTCTACTACCTCACTGACCCCATAATAGCTTGCCAGGCCGTGGCGGACGGAGACTGGGTGGCCAAGGTCCGCACTTTGCAGAGCGAATTCTTAGAGGGGAATCCTGCCGCTGGGCCTGATCGAGAGAAGGTGGCCGAGTTGATGGGGGCCGTTCAGAGAAATATCCAGGAGAATGAAAGAAGTGAGGTAAGAGAGGTGATGCCTGGGAAAGGATCTGCTGGCAGGATCTACTCCCATCCCAATTCTGGATTAAGAACAGAAGGAGGAGCCTTCTGGAATAATAATAATAATAATAATAATAATAATAATAATAATAATGTATTTATACCCCGCCCTCCCCGGCCAGAGCCAGGCTCAGGGCGGCTAACACCAATAAAATCACAGTAAAAACATGATCACTGCAGATGGTGACAGCAGCCACGAAATTAAAAGACGCCTGCTTCTTGGGAGAAAAGCAATGACAAACCTAGACAGCATCTTAAAAAGAAGAGACATCACCTTGCCAACAAAGGTCCGTATAGTTCAAGCTATGATTTTCCCAGTAGTGATGTATGGAAGTGAGAGCTGGACCATAAAGAAGGCTGATTGCCGCAGAATGGATGCTTTTGAATTATGGTGCTGGAGGAGACTCTTGAGAATACCATGGACTGCAAGAAGATCAAGCCTCTCCATTCTGTAGGAAATCTGCCCTGAGTGCTCACTGGAAGGACAGATCCTGAAGCTGAGGCTCCAAGACTTTGGCCACCTCATGAGAAGAGAAGACTCCCTGGAAAAGACCCTGATGTTGGGAAAGATGGAGGGCACAAGGAGAAGAGGACGACAGAGGACAAGATGGTTGGACAGTGTTCTCAAAGCTGCCAGCATGAGTTTGACCAAACTGTGGGAGGCAGTGGAAGACAGGAGTGCCTGGCGTGCTCTGGTCCAGGGGGTCACGAAGAGCCGGACACGACTAAATGACTAAACAACAACAACAACATCATAATAATAGGGGGGAAATAGAGGGCGGAGAAAAAGGGGGGGAATTTAAAATACAGGTCAAAATGCAATTTAAAATGCAGCCTCTTTTTAAAGTAGCTGATAAATCCAACAACAGCCTGTCCAGCCCAGCCTTCTGTTCTCACAGTGGCCAACCAGATCACCCGATGGGAAACCAGCAAGCAGAATTCGAACGCTAGAGCAACTCTCCCCTCCTGGGGTTTCCAGTGACTGGGATTCAGGAGCATTGCTGCCTCTCAGCTGTGGAGGCGCCGTAGAGCCATCCTGGCTAGGAGCCATCGATAGCCCTCCTCCTCCATGAATTTGTCTGACCCTCTTTTAAAGCTATCTAGATTGGTGGACATCCCTACCTACTGTGGCAGGGAGTTCCACAGGTTAACTGGTTGCAGTGCGACAAAGGCCTTCCTTTCGTCTGCCCTGAATCTGACAATATTCCATTTCATGGGGTGTCCGTGAGTTCTAGGGTTGTGATACAGAGCTAAACATTTCTCTGTACACTGTAAGATTTTAATAAGTTTATAATTAATGTGTAGCTTAATGTGCAGACCAGTCTTCCCCACGTTGTTGAGTTTCAGGTGTTTTGGATTACAACTCTCACCTAGCCAGGTCAAACTCCATGTTTTTGAGAGATGCTGCCAAGACAAATTTCCTGATAAATGGTGATGCTCGTTAAAAGAAACCCGTAATTAAAATGCTAGCATTCCCCTTGTTGTGCCATTGCCTCCTTGCCTCCTGTGCTGGTGAGAGCTGCACGGTGGCATGGAAATTAGACAGCGAAAGCTTTTCCTGTCTTTTCCTCATGGGGTGAAGTTTTACCTGTTGGATATCTGTCTGTCACACTGTACCATATTTTTTGCTCTATAAGACTCACTTTTTCCCTCCTAAAAAGTAAGGGGAAATGTGTGTGCGTCTTATGGAGCGAATGCAGGCTGCACAGCTGTCGCAGAAGCCAGAACAGCAAGAGGGATTGCTGCTTTCACTGCGCAGCGATCCCTCTTGTTGTTCTGGCTTCTGAGATTCAGAATATTTCTTTTCTAGTTTTCCTCCTCCAAAAACTAGTTGCGTCTCGTGGTCTGGTGCGTCTTATAGAGCGAAAAATACAGTAATTAAGGAGGGGAGAGCTGGCAACTCTAATATTCTCTACTGTTAATCATCTAGCCTTTCATTTCAAGGAAGAGGAGGAAGACCGAACTTGATAAAGTTCTAGGTGGGAGCAGTTAAACGCTATTTAAATATGACAAGGCCAATTTTCTAGTCCTCATTACTAAGACAGAAAAGCCTCAAGACACACAGGCTTTTCTTATTGCTCCCATCGCTAAATCCCCTCTCCTCCACTAGATGCCCCCTGGGGGTCCCTTGCAGCTCTAAAATTCTAGGATCCTGTGAAATAAATTGCTGGGCTGAGCAGCCTCAGAGGTTCAGCCTGTCGCCTGACCTGCTCTCCTCTCCTTCCCAGCCCTGCGCAGGAGTAGACCAGATCCTGGAGAGCAGCGCATGGATCTCCAATCGAGTAGCCTCGGAGCCAGCTGGGCGGGTGCTGGCAGCCGTTGCCTACCATGCCCTGGCGGGGGGCTGCTTCCATGCCCTCCCCCCAGAACACTACTTTGTGGAATACATCTTTGGGCTCTACGGCAACAAGACCCACAACCTCACCTTGGCAGGTAATTTCATCCCACTCGGGATTTGTTTGTTTTTTGAATTTGATAGTGTTTATTATACAAACCATTAGAAGTAAATTTAGGTACAGTGGTGCCCCGCAAGACGAATGCCTCGCAAGACGAAAAACTCGCTAGACGAAAAGGTTTTGCGGTTTTTGAGCTGCTTCGCAAGACGAATTCCCCTATGGGCTTGCTTCGCAAGACGGAAACGTCTTGCGTTTTTTGCAAGTTTGTTTCCTTTTTCTTAACACCGTTAATACAGTTGCGACTTTACTTCGAGGAGCAACTCATAGAATGCGGTGTGGTAGCCTTTTTTGAGGTTTTTGGTGATTTTTGAAGCTTTTCCAAAACTTTTCTGACACCGTGCTTCGCAAGATGAAAAATTCGCTAGACGAGAAAACTCGCGGAACGAATTAATTTCGTCTTGCGAGGCACCACTGTAAAGGTAAAGGGACCCCTGACCATTAGGTCCAGTCGTGGCTGACTCTGGGGTTGCGGTGCTCATCTCGCTTTATTGGCCGAGGGAGCCGGTGTACAGCTTCCAGGTCATGTGCCAGCATGACTAAGCCGCTTCTGGCGAAGCAGAGCAGCACACGGAAACGCCGTTTCCCTTCCCACCAGAGCGGTACCTATTTATGTACTTGCACTTTGACATGCTTTCAAACTGCTAGGTTGGCAGGAACAGGGACTGAGCAACGGGAGCTCACCCCGTCGCAGGGATTCGAACCACCAACCTTCTGATCAGCAAGCCTCTGGTTTAACCCACATAGAAAGTGGAATCAAGTCTTGGCACTGCCATACCATGTAACACAGTTTAAGTTAGCAGAGTAAGGCATGATTCCATTTTAAAGCATACAGGAAAGGGGTTTATTGCATTCCATATTTTTTCCTTCAGCTCTTCCACTTTTTTAATATATGATTTCATTGCATCTTCTTTGGACATTCCTTTCAAGGAATTCCAGGCATCCCACTTGGCCTTGCCTTTGATAATCAAGCATCCCAGAACGGTCTGCATTTATATCTCCAGCTGTGGCCTGCTTGTAACAGCTGTAGATATCCAGCATTTCTTGATCTGTCGGCTGAGTCTTCAGCTTCTTGATTTCTTCTGCAGCTTTTTCAAACTCTGTGCCATGGTTGCAGAAGTGCGCAGCGACCTCATTTCACCCCGCTGTTGGGGAATGGGGTGCTGGGTGAGGAAGGCAGTGGGCGAGGGTTTGGGCGGGGAGAGGAGGGGAGTCTATTCGGTCCTGAGACGGGCAGAAGGTTTGCTCCGAGACTTTTCTGCTTCTGTGTCTGTTGAGGATGAGCCACCTGCCTTATCACAGAGTCACAGAATTTGTGAGTCAGAAGGGACCCTGAGTACCATTAAGTTCAACCCTCTGCACCCGCTGGACTTTCTGGGTCAGTCTGAAGGGCAGCCCTACGTAAAGTGAGTTACAATCCATCTTTGGAAATACACCCGGGTGTGGCGTAGCTACAAAATGCAACAGACAAATGTCAAAAGCTCAGCTGTGAGAGTGCTAGTGAGAAATTAACTGCACAGTCTCTCTAATACATGTCCACCGAGAAATAAGTCCTGTTGAATTCAGTGGGCCTTATTCCCAGGTAAGCGGGGGGTTAGGATCACAGCTGAAGGCTATGAACCTTAAAGTCCCTGGCTGCTGCTGCTGCTGCCACCAGCTCCATAAGTCTTTGATAGAGAGCGTTCAAAGAGCTCAAGGAGTTGGGTTGGTGGTAAATCCACCTGGCAGTGATGCTGAGGGCATCTGGTGAGATCAGGGCCTCTTCTGTGTTTGCAACAGGCTTGACCAGGCTGATGGAGCAGCTCAAAGTGGGTCCTGAGGCGTCCCACGCAGGACACGACCACGGGGAACCTGGGCATGAGCACCCTCACGACGACCACGCACTTGGCAGCCACCACGACCACGCGCACGAGGGCGCCACGCACGATCACCCTCACGATCATGGTGACCACGAGGGTCACGAGGACCATCACCACGGCAATGACACTGACCACCACCATGGAGATGAAATGGACCACCCTGCAAACCGAACAGAGAAGAATATAGCCCGGCGAAGGCGGAGTCTGCCTGGAACGGGCGAGCAGGACGCCAACGTCTGGGATACGGTGAGGAGCGTTTCCCCCCTCCACACACATAATATTTATTATTTTCGGTAGATAAACATAGTAAAAAAAGAAAAGATTAACAATAATAAAGACAAACAAAAAATAGGAGAAAAAGAGAAAGAGAAAAAAGATACATACAACAAATTACCACTTAATTAATTAAAATTAAGTACCATCCATCTTCATAAACATAGTATTTGACTTCCTCGAAACTCTTCCATCCGAATTTCTTAGTAATTATATGTAGCAGTTTCCAATATCAGGGTTTCCAAAGACCATATCACAGTCCTAATCATATTACATAGCTTTCCTTATTGTACATTTTCTTATTTATAAATTTAATTCCATTTTAATCCTAGGCCTAATTGTTTCTTTCAAGTGGTTACATATCTTTAATATTACAATATTTATAATAAATATAGTCTTTAAATTTCTTCCAGTCTTCTTGGTGTTCCTTGGTGAGGAGCGTTTTCTGTCCCATCACAAACATCTAAAGAGAGGGACCTCTTGGTGGTTCAAGGGTAGGAGCTGCTCAGGAGTGCCAGTTTGGCCCTGCAACCATGGGTGCCCAGAGCCGTGGATGCCATGCAGCGTGCATGGCCCTGGCAACAAAATTTATGGGTGCCTGGCCCCTTCATGGGGAATTGTGTGGGTGCTCAGGCACCCAGGGAGTTGGCACCTATGGATCTGCTGGATAGCAGCCATGATCATGTTGCTCGTTAGTTTCCCATCTCTGGTCCAGGGCTCCCTCCTTCTCTTCATGTTCCACAAGGGAAAGGAGAATGTGACTTAAAAGTCTGATGAACGTCTGACGTGATGAAAGCTGGCACACAAAGGCTTTTAAATAAAAACCGAATTAATTTCCACATGGTGTGGAGGGGGAGAGGGATGTTGCCTTGCCCTCCGTGCATCAGGTGATGTTGGCAACAGGTGGTTTTCTCATGAAGGGCAGAGCCCAGAGGCAGATGATGAAGTTCTTTTCCCACTCCATGTGTTTCGTCAGCACTTAGACAAGAAACTGAGAACAGGACTCTGATTCTAGCTGGGTTTTTGTCAGGCAGCAGAGAGGGGTCTGTGTGCTTTTGTGTGTCTGTCTTTAGGATTGCCATCTGACCAGGAAAAAAAAGCTGGTCTGGCCTGCTCCTATGCCATTCAAGGCCAGCTGACCTGTAGAAATCAGCAAGGGAACCTCTTTGCCGTGACAAGCGTCACAGAATTCCTGCATTGCAGGGGGCTGGGCTGGATGACCCCCTTGGGTCCCTTCCAACCAATTCTATGGTCCTAGAACTGAAGTGTAGATGGGTCCCACCAGGCAAGGCACAGCGATAACAGCAAGAACCTTTATTGAACTACATAACTGGGAAACAGGGGCAAAGCAACTGCTTATATACATTCCTGAAAGCCTGGGCCACTCCCACTCCCACCCTGATTGGCTGTCTAAACGTCCAAGCTGCGAATCACAACTCAGAGTTCAAGGGCCAATGGCAGAGGCCCAAATCCTGAAGTGCACTGTGATTGGACACAATCAGAACACAGGAGCTCAGTATCTTTAGTCCAGACTCAAGCTCAGGCAAACAGACCACATAACAGGAATCACCTGGTTCCAATGGCTACAGATCAAATAGATGCAAAAGGCATGGTGATAGGGGCCAATAATAATAATAATAATAATAATAATAATAATAATAAATAATTTATTATTTATACCCCGCCCATCTGGCGGGGTTTCCCCAGCCACTCTGGGCGGCTTCCAACAGAACACTAAAATACAATAACCTATTAAACAAGTGTGTATCTGAAGAAGTGTGCATGCACACGAAAGCTCATACCAAGAACTAACTTAGTTGGTCTTTAAGGTGCTACTGGAAGGAATGTTTTTGTTTTGACTATTAAACATTAAAAGCTTCCCTAAACAGGGCTGCCGTCAGATGTCTTCTGAATGTCAGATAGTTGTTTTTCCGTTTGACATCTGGCGGGAGGGCGTTCCACAGGGCGGGTGCCACTACCGAGAAGGCCCTCTGCCTGGTTCTCTGTAGCTTTGCTTCTCGCAGTGAAGGAACTGCCAAAAGGCCCTCAGAGCTGGACCCAGTGACGTAGCGTGGGGGGTCCAGGGGGGGCCGGCCGGACCGGGCGCAACATCGGGGGGGGGGCGCTCGCACTCGCAGCTCTCTGCCCCTACCTGACTCACTCACTCTCTCTCACTGCAGTGCTGGCTGTGCGAATCCGATCCGAGCCGCTGGGCCGCCACCCACTGTGGAGGGGGTGGGTGCCAGGCGTGCGTTGCGGAGAGAGAGAGAGGGACTATCTGGGGGAGGGACAGTGCAGCGGCCGCCCAGCGCAGCGCTGAGCGCGGAAGAGAACCACACCAGACCAGCCCAGGCAGCAGCAAGAAGAAGCTGGCAGCGGTGGCAGGTTAGGGGTTAGGGGGCGCAAATTACTTGCCTTGCCCCGGGTGCTGACAACCCACGCTACGCCGCTGGCTGGACCTCAGTGTCCGGGCTGAACGAGGCATTTGAAGAACTGGCAACCCTAGTCTCCTTGGGATCTCCCTGTGGCTCACTCATCTGGGGGGCATGTCTTCATTTCCAGGTCTGCCTCAGCCCCAGTGACCTGTTTGAGATTTACGGGATCGACGAAAGCGCAGGAATCTCCAGCCCTGATTTCAGCCGCGTGAGCCCAGCGCTGGTGCAGCAACAGCTGAGCAAAGCCTGCTCTGCCCCCCGGAACGCCCCTGCCGACGGGCGGCTCACCACTGCGCAGAGTGAGTCCACACACCCTTAAAAAGGAACTGGTCTTTTAAGCCAATTAGAAAACAAATTGCATTTCTTAACACAATGCATAGTTAAGACTGTGGTACTTCCTCCCACAAGGGGCAGGAACCCTCCTGTGGTTTCCAGCAACAGTGTTGGTGCACATCACTGCTTCCTGTGGCAGTGAGTTCCGCAGTTTAAAACTGCGCGGCATGATTTTATCTGTCCTGCATCTTCCAACTTTCAGCATTGGATGCCCACGAGTTCTAGAGTTAGGAAAGAGGGAGAAAAACTTCATCCGCTTTCTCCGTGCCACGCATAATTTTATAAACTTCTGTCACATCACTTCTGACTTTTTCCTCTCATCCTAAGCTAAACCTTCCCAATGGCCTCCATGCCTCTCTGCCCAGCGGTGCTTCGACAGACTTCTTTTCCCCTGTGTCATTATTTTCTTAAGATTTTAATTTTATTGAGAGTATTACAGTGAGTTAAAGTCAATATGAAATAAAAGGGGAAAAGAAAAAGGATATATATATATATAAACATTTTAAAAGGCAGAGGAAAACAACAATAACAAAATAACAATAAAAAGTTATATAACTATGTAGTAGTAGTAGTAGTAGTAATAATAATAATAATAATAAATAATAATAATAATAATAATAATAATAAATTTTTATTGATACCCCGCCCTCCCCAGCCAAGGCCGGGCTCAGTAGGTGTTTAAGCAGATAAGCTTATTGTTTCCCTCAAGTATACGTTGGCTTGTGGTTCACAATGGTTTTGATAATAGCATAATCTTCCTCTGACAGCTATGTCTTCATGGGTTGCAAGAGATGTCCTGCCATCTATCCATTCATCCAAGGGGGCAATATCTTTATCCTTCCAATATATTAATATCGATCTTCTTGCAGATGTAAGGGCCCAGAGAATCCATTTATGCTGACCAATAGTCATGCCCCATATGTTAGGCATATAGTTTAAGACGATGATAATATTAATATAATAATAATAACTTATTATTTATACCCCACCCATCTGGCTGGGTTTCCCCAGGCACTCTGGGTGGCTTCCAGCAAAATATTAAAATACAATAATTCATCAAATATTAAAAGCTTCCCTAGACAGGGCTGCCTTCAGATGTCTTCTAAAAGTCGGATAGTTGTTTATTTCCTTGACATCTGATGGGAGGGCGTTCCACAGGGCGGGCGCCACCACCAAGAAGGCCCTATGCCTGGTTCCCTGTAACCTCACTTATTGCAATGAGAGAACCGCCAGAAGACCCTCAGAGCTGGACCTGAGTGTCCGGGCAGAATGATGGGGGTGGAGATGCTCCTTCAGATCTACTGGGCCGAGGCCGTTTAGGGCTTTGAAGGTCAGCACTACATGAGACACACCCAGGGGTAGTAAGAATGAAGGCCCTCTCCAGGAGTTATGTGTGGTGGCTGGGGATTGACAGAGAGATAGAGGCCTGGGTCAAACACTGCCAGGCCTGCCAAGAATCCCACCTTCGTTGTCAGTGAAATATACTCGGAGTCGAGAGTGAATTTCATGCTCTTTATTCAGCTCATATTGGTGAGGAGGAATAGAAGTTCCCCCAGAATGTCTGCTTTATATTCATTATTTACACAATGGGCCCCACGTGATTGGCTAATTCTGGGACTCACCTGTAGCCAATCAGGTTGCGGATTCACTTCCACCTGGAGCTGGATTGGGTGGCTCCTGTGGACCAATCAGACTGCTGCTTTCTGGATCCTATTGTTCTAGGGCCAATCAGACTGCTGCATTCTGAATCCTATTGTTGTAGGACCAATCAGAATGCTGCATTTTGGATCCTATTCAACTCAGTACATAACACTAACACTTTGAATTGTGCCCGGAAATGTACTATGTCATCTTCTGAAACATACGTTTAACTCTTTCCCCGCAACCCCTCATTGCCCCTGTTCCAGAATACATCTACGGCTCGCTGGCAACCCTGCTGATCTGCCTGTGTGCCCTGTTTGGCATCGTCGTCCTCCTCTGCACCACCTGCATCAGCGCCTACCAGTACGTGATCCAGCTCTTCGTCAGCCTGGCGGTGGGATCCCTCACTGGGGATGCTATGCTGCACCTCATCCCCACGGTCAGTTCACACGGCGGGTGGGGCTGTTTCTGGCTTGTGCTGAGGCTGTGCTCCCTGGGTGGGTGTGTCTCAAGGTGTGCTTGCAAGAGCATCCATTTGCAGGTGTGTGCAGCTGCACGTGATCCAACCTTTCCCTTAAAAAAAAACATTTATTAAGTTTCGATTTTATCACCTTTAAACAAATCCTTATTATACTCATTACATATTTAATCAATCGAGCTTCGACTTCCCTCCCTCCCGTCTCATGGTTTCCATAATTCATTATTGCCTCATAGTGTAGCGTTCCCAAAGCAAGGAAGGATTGGACTCTGATTAATAAAATACACACAAGGCTTGACCAGCAAGACTCTGCGAAGGGTGCCAATAATAATTCCTGCACCCCTCGGCCCAGGTCTTTTTATTCACAAAAGAACTTTTTACACAGTGTTCATAAGAATCAACCAGATTTCCTCTGAGCATTTAAAAAAAAAACCCCACGTGGGACAAAGTCAGATCAGAAGAAATCCTGTTAACTACAAAGACTACTTTGAGCATGCATGTATATCTGAGAGTAAATAAAACAGGATTAGAGGAATGCATTCAGGTCATAAACAGGCAGGAAAGGAAGGAAGGATGGCAAGGAAAGAGTATTTACCATCTCCTTGTGAACTCTCTTCCTGGCCCTTAAGACCTACCTAAAGATTAAACTACATCAAAGCTAACTATCATCTTTATGACCCAGGATGCCTGATGAAGCAACTGGCAACTGGTCTGTGTATTTAGAATGCTTATACGTGCCTGTCAGGTGTAGAGAACGCAAATGCCAGAGGTGGAAAGGCTTGTGAGATGTGATCAGAAATTATTGTCAATGAATCAAACCCAGTCAATGCCATGCTTTCATCACGGACACAATGGCTTGCTTCACATTTCATAATTCCTCATAGCAATCCCACCTGACCCCCACACTCTGGATATATGCATTCCTACATCATAGCATTTGTACATTATCCCATTTACGTTTCACTCCTTCCGTTAATCACAATTTTTTAAACGAATATAAAAAGGTACAAATCCTTAACATTGCAAGTTTACTTACGCCAACCCTGCTAGTGTTGTTAATTGGTTGCAATTGTCCTTCAGATATTGTACAAATTTACTCCAGTCTTTTTGGAAAGTTTGATCGCGATGGTTTCTGATTTTCCCGGTCAGCCTCGCCAATTCTGCATAGCCCATAATCTTTGTCTGCCACTCTTCTAGCGATGGAATTTCCCGTCAGTTCCATTTTGGGGCTAAAAGAGTTCTTGCTGCTGTTGTCGCATACATAAACAGTTTTATATCTCTCTTTGGGATCTCATTCCCTACTATACCTAACAGAAATGCCTCTGGTTTTTCCACAAATGTACTTTTAAACATTTTCTTTGACTAATTATATATCATTTGCCAGTGAGCTTTTACCTTACTACAAGTCCACCACATGTGATAAAAAAATTCCCTCCTTTCGCAATTCAACCGTTCCCAATCTGGTGCCCTCCACCCGGTGCTATACTAGAACTCCCATCAGCCAGCATGGGAGCTCTCCTGACAGCATCACATGGCCACAGTGGGTGCTGGTGTGGATGGGAGTTGTAGTCCGGCATGTTTCGAAGGCAGGGATGTGTGGTCTTCAGAAGCTTCTTCCCTGCGCCCCAAATCAAGCTGTGCCTTCCCTCTCATGCCCGCAGTTCCTGGGTCTCCATTCTCACTCCCATGGCGAGGGCCACTCCCATGACCCCCACGGAGCTGAGGGCCACAACGTCCTGTGGAAGCTACTGGCCGTGCTGGGAGGGCTCTACCTCTTCTTCCTCCTCGAAAAGTTCTTCATCCTCCTGGGGCACTCGGACGACGACGAGGTGCGTTGGTCGTTTATCGGCTGCTAGCTGTTGGCAGTGGTGGGGAGGAGGAACGGAAAGGGGCAGGGGCACACTTTGGCAATCACGGGGAATATCGCACCCTGAGCGAGGCCAAAACCTGGTGCCCACAAATGGATCTTCTCAGTTGGGCAACCCTTCTGCTTCGCATCGCCCACAGTGCCCTTAATCATGGGTAGGCAAACCAAGGCCTGGGGGCCGGATGCAGCCCATTCGCCTTTTCAATCTGGCCCGGTCCAGGAATCAGTATGTTTTTACATGTGTGCTTTTATTTAAAATGCATCTCTGGGTTATTTGTGGGGCCTGCCTGGTGTTTTTACATGAGTAGAATGTGTGCTTTTATTTAAAATGCACCTCTGGGTTATTGGTGGGGCATAGGAATTAGTTCATATATTTTTTTCAAAGTATAGTCCGCCCCCCACCCCAAGGTTGGAGGGACTCTTTTCCTGCTGAAAAAGTTTGCTGACCCCTGAATCTAGGGCCGAAAGGAGCTTGTAACACATCCTTTCTCCGTAACTTGAAGTGTGGAGCCTCTGGCTTGCAGGCCCATCTGTAGAGGCATTTTTTGGGTAGCGCAACCGGTGCAGCTGCACTGTGCCCCTTGCTACAGGGGGCGCCAGAACATTGCTGTAGAACAGAGTGCAAGAGGTTGGGGGGGATTAGCGTCGCACAGGGTGCCGCTGAAATTTGAGAGCCCAGGGTCCGATGCTGCAATATTGACCCAATGTGGCCAGCGAGTCCTTTAAAAATAAAATTGCTCACCTCTCCGTCAGCTGACATCACCCTGATTGGAGGGTGATGTCAGCTGATGATAGGGGTTCAATCCTGTGGGGAACTGGAGTGCCTACTTGATCCCTGCAGAAAGCAGGATTTAACCTCCTGCTCATCGGCTGATGAGCAGGGATTGAACTCCTTTTTAAAAAAAATCATTTTTATTAAGTTTTCCATTTTGACAAGCCAATCAAATCACATTAAATATTCCAAATTATAGGTAAAGGGTAAAGGGACCCCTGACCATTAGGTCCAGTCATGGCCGACTCTGGGGTTGCGGCGCTCATCTCGCTTTATTGGCTGAGAGAACCGGCGTACAGCTTCCTGGTCATGTGGCCAGCATGACTAAGCCGCTTCTGGCGAACCAGAGCAGCGCACGGAAACGCCGTTTACCTTCCTGCCGGAGTGGTACCTATTTATCTACTTGCACTTTGACATGCTTTCGAACTGCAAGGTTGGCAGGAGCAGGGACCGAGCAACGGGAGCTCACCCCGTCGCGGGGATTCGAACCGCCGACCTTCTGATCAGCAAGTTCTAGGCTCTGTGGTTTAACCCATAGCACCACCCGCATTACATATCAAATAATTGAAATATTCTGCCAAGTTGTAAATTAGCAGGGATTGAACTCTTGCTGGGTTGCCTAGCAACTGCACAGGTCCAATTGGATGCCATGTTCCCTTGTATCTCCCGCCTCCAGGAGCACAGCACAGGGCACCAGTGCGACCACGGCATGTCCCTGCAGCTCTACCAAGACGAGATGAAGAGGAGGAAGCAGGAGAAGGGTGCTTCTCACGCTGACCTGGTGAGTGGGCTGCCCTGCGTGCCTCCACCTGGGACTGGCATCCTGGCTGCTGAGATGCCCTCAGTCTCTCTGGGTTGTTTTACACATTTCTGGGAGGAGTCAGAGGCTAAGCAAAGATTACTCAAGGTCCTGGAAAAGAACCCCAGCAAAATAAGAGTCGGCATGGCAGCTATTATGTACTGAGTTGAATAGGATCCAAAATGCAGGAGTCTGATTGGTCCTAGAACAGTAGGATCCAGAATGCAGCAGTCTGATTGGTCCTAGAACAATAGGATCCAGAATGCAGCGGTCTGATTGGTCCTAGAACCATAGGATCCAGAAAACAGCAGTCTGATTGGCCCTAGAACAATAGGTTCCAGAATGCAGCAGTCTGATTGGTCCACAGGAGCCACCCAATCCAGCTCCAGGTGGAAGTGAATCCGCAACCTGGTTGGCCTACAGGAGAATCCCAGAATTAGCCAATCACGTGGGGCCCATTGTGTAAATAATGTATATAAAGCAGACATTTCGGGGGAACTTCCATCCCTCACTGTTCTGAGCTGAATAAAGAGCATGAAATCCCCACTTGACTCCGAGTATATTCCAAGCAAAAGTAAGAGTCAGCATGGCAGCTTTGGCCAAGTTGATGCCCTCCAGATGTTTGGGCAGGGCCTGATGGGAAAGGTTGTGCAAAACATCTGGAAGGTGCCAGCTTGCCCAACACTGCGCTGTTGTATAGATGAAGGCTGTTCCTTTAACCCAGGAGACAAGTCCTCATAGATACTTAGAAACTTAAGAGTTAGAAGGGACCCTGAGGGTCATCTAGTTCAACCCCCTGCGAAACCTTAATCTCAGCTAAAGCATCCCTGACCAATGGTCACCAAACCTCTTCTTAGAAATTTCCAAGGAAGGAGAGCCCAACTTCCAAAAGAGTCTGTTCCCCTGTCAAACAGTTCTTCCCATCAGAAAGTTCTTCCTGATGAAGTTGGTATCTCCTGTCCTGCAACTTGAAGCCGCTGGTTGGAGTCCTAGCCTCTAGAGGCCCATAAATAGCAACACCCTAGAGGTCCCGGGCCCTAAGGAAGTCAGATTAGCCTCAACCAGAGCCAGGGCCTTTTCAACACTGGCTCCGGCCTGGTGGAACGCTCTGCCTCATGAGACCAGGGCCCTGCAGGATCTGATTTCTTTCCGCAGGGCCTGTAAGACAGAGTTGTTCTGCCTGGCCTTTGGCTTGGAATCAACTTGATCCCCTTCCCCTCTTTCTCCTCCCGTGATGGAACTCCTATTTGGGGACTTCCCTAGCTTTTTTCTGGCCCACGTAGGACCAGTCTGGATAGCTGACCTTGGTGAAGATTTGACGTTTTCATCCCCAAAAAAGGGGTGTAGCTTAAGACCACCACCCACAGATACATCATACCTACATCACGGAAGGGCAGTCTACAACAGAAATCTGAGTGCGTTGTTTATCTTCTGTCTGGCAGGTTACCTGTTAATGCTTACTTGATTGGATACCCTGGGAAGCCTGGCCAGTCCCTTGTAATGATAAATACTTAGTTCCTGAGTCAGGTCACAGGCTCACCCTATTCAAACACAGACATACCCTTAAGACAGGATTTGTGAAGGAAAAGACAATGGGGAGGCTTTTCCGTTTTCCTTTGACTTTTCAGAGAAAACATTTGGTCAGTTTGGGACAGTTTGGAAATCAAAAAATTTTCCAGGTCGGTCTTCCTGTGCTGATCTATGTACGTGCTTGGTTGGTACACTTATGAACATTTAACATATATCTAAGACCTGAAAATTCCTACCACACCACCCTTTCCCTTTTTTGCTGCTGCATCACACTGTTGACTCACGTTAAGTCTTGATGAGCCAGTGAATTCTGAGATACCCAGAGATGGGCAGAGAGCTGCTTCCACCTGTAGCCCGGCATTCCAGGAGCTGTGAGTGATCTCCGGCAAAAAGCAAAAAATAAATTTCTGCCTTCCTCTTTCGCCCAATTCTGTGCCATGCCTTTATCCAGAACCCAAGCATGATTCACCAGCCCCACCTAATGGTGGAAGGTGGAATAAAGATGTGCGGGAAGAAATATGTGGCTATGTGAAAAATGCCTTGCACTGCTCCAGACTATTGGTGCATCGAGCCCATTATTGTCTTCTCGGACTGGCAGCAGCTCTCCCAGGTTTTCTGGCAGGGAAGGGTATTTTCCCTATCGCCCACCACCTGAGATCCTTCTTAACTGGAGAGGTCAGGGATTGAACCAGGGACGTTCTGCATGCAAGGCAGGAGCCTATTCCACTGCTCCACGCTGCCTCCCTGTTGGGTTAAGCTCCTGCTGCTTAATTCCCACATTCATTTGTTTTTTTTTAAAGTGGGAGGAATCAGCAGTCTGAGTCAGTGGGGCATGCAAACACACACCCTTCGAAGATTTGAAATTGAAATGAAGTCTAAAAAACATCGATGCTCAAGACATCGATTCTATAAAACATATTTTGCTGCACTGTGCGAAATACGAGCAAGCAGGGCTGAACTGATATTACCTTTTCCGGGAAAATCAGGGGCTCACTATGTCAGGTTCCTATTGGAAGTCCAAACAAACACTAGAACATTAGCAGTGGCGAAGTTTTTATCGGTGGTTGCAAGAACCAATGATCCCTATCTTTAAATCTGAACAAAATGCTTGTTTAACCTGGAGGTAGGCTGTCTGAATTGTGCATTGCTTTGTAACGATTTGTTGGGTCTCTGGACCGTGATAACGATTGATTGACAAAACAAGCAACAGTGACCCAAAGTCTAAAGCATAAATGGGTAGTGATTTTGTCCTCTAAAATCAGCTTGAGAGTACGATCGCTCTGTTGTTCTGTTTCCAAAACAGGAGAGAAGTCTTTCCCCCAAGGTTTGCTTCTTTAATGTATGCTTTTTTAAAAAAAACAACCTGGGGGAAACCACACCAACCTTTTGAAAATGTTATGATTTATTTGGGGAGACGAGGACGTGGAACTGTGTTGCTCATCTTTTAATTTAATTTAAATTTATTATCACAGAATTGGAAGGGACCCCAAGGTTCATCTAGTCCAGCCGCGTCTGATGCAGAATTTCTCACATTCATATTCCACCCAAGGAGCTCAAAATGTCTCCCCTCCCCATTTCCCCCCTCACAACAACTCTGTGAGGTAGGTTGGGATGAGGGACAGCGACTGGCTGAGTGGGGCTTTGAACCCTGGTCTCCCAGGTCTATAGTCCAACACTCTAACCATTCCACCACAAGCCTCTTCTGTTTTGAGGGAAGCACCTGCTTATTATGTTGAAACCTGGCTGTGCAGAAATGCCTCTTGTCTGGTGACTGGCAGCCATTGGTAGGGCAGGCGGCAGGGAGCCCAACAGCAGGGGGCGCCAATGAGTTCAGAGCTTTATCCCCAAACTCCTTGCTGAGTTCCGAGGGGGACCAAATTGTCTAGATCAGGCTTTGGTTCCTGCACTGCAAGGGGTTGGACTAGATGACCATTGGGATCCAATTCTATGATTCATTGCAGAGGTTGGATGGCTGTCTATCAGAGAATATTTAGCTGAGATTCCGGCATTGCAGGGGGTTGGACTCAATGGCCCTTGGGGTCTCTTCCAGCTTTACAATTCTACAATTCTATGAATTGCCCAGCGCTTTCGTATGTAGGTGACTCTTTAAATTTAATTAATTCTACTACAGTCATACCTCGTGTTGCGTTTGCTTCCGGTTGAGCGTTTTCAGGTTGCGCTCCGCGGTGACCCGGAAGTACTGGAAAGGGTTACTGCCGGGTTTCACCGCTCGTGCATGCACAGACGCTCAAAATGACCGCATGCGCAGAAGCGGTGAATCGTGACCCGCACATGCGCAGACGCGGGTTGCGTTCTGCTCAGGTTGCGAACGGGGCTCTGGAACAGATCCCGTTTGCAACCAGAGGTACCACTGTACTAATAAAATGGAGGGCTCAGAAAATGAACAGAAGGCAGGGACTGCGCCTCGGAAAAGCAGGGCCTTTTTTGCGTGGCCCCAAAGTGGGACGCAGGCTGTGCCTGTCTCACATTCTCTTTTTCTACCCGCCTGTTCTTTCTTCATAGGTGACTGCTGAGGAGGCAGATTTCAGCCAGATGCGGAAGAAAGAGACCCTCAGTCGAGGTGAGCACCAGCAATGTCCTGTCCAGCAACCAGATGGGATTCTCCTTGACATGTCCAGCATTTATTCTTATTCTTCTTATTATTTATTAAATTTGTATACCGCCCTATACCCGTAAATCTCAGGACGGTTCACAACATAACCTCAAGAAGCTGCTTTGATTGAACGATTTTCATTTCTAACATTTCCATGCACCAGGGCAGGTTATAACAACCAGAAATATAATTATAAAAACAGGAAACCGTGGTAAAAATGAAACAAAAGACCAGCTCAGAGCAAAACCATGATCACAATTGTTCACTTGTTGTTTTTTAAGTCTTTTTTATTAAGTTTTCCATTTTAACAATCCAATCAAATCACATTAAATATTCCAAATTATACATATCAATTAGTACAAATATTCTGTTGAATTATAAATTTTTTGTTGTTGGGACTTTCCATGCTTCAAATTCGGATGAGGCTCTCATCATCTCATATCTCTTCTGCTTTTGATAGTCATTTCTAATAGTTCCTTTAAATCTTCCTGTTATTTTCACAATCGTTCACTTGTATGTTGCCTTTCCATAGTTAAAACCACACTCAAGGCAGCGTGAAATATTTGCGCAAGTACAAAACTGTAACCAAAGCAGTCCTAAGCGATGTGTCAGAGTGGGCACGACGAAATCAAACAATCCCCGCATGTCATAAGAAGATCTAAAAATCAAGGCGCAGGGAATTGATCCCAAGAGCAGCAAAACGAACATCCGCAAAGTGGAATCTTGACCCCCAATGTAAACCCTAAAACGATACCCCACTCCAAGAGTCTGTAGGGTTTATGTGAGTTTTCCATCAGTGAGATCTCTTGGGGTTTGTATCCTGCGTGAAGCTGGTCTCAAGGGATGGACTCGCCATCACTCTGCAACGCAAGCAAATCTCTGTTGCGTCCTAAATCAGTCTCCACCAACCTGGTGCCTTCCAGATGTTTTGGACTACAACTCCTGTCAGATGCCGTCCAAAACATCTGGAGGGTACCAGGCTTGAGGAAGGCTGTCCTAGATTGTCAGCCACTTTCTGATGGGGCCCAAACATAGCTGTCAACGTTTCCCCTTTTTTAAGGGGAATAGGATTCCTCGCAAGGAATCTTATTATTCCGAATAGGATTCCTTGCAAGAAAAGGGAAAAGTTGGCAGCTATGGGCCCAAATAATATGTCCAAACCTGGGACCCCGCTTCCCGGACACACCTTTGGTTCAACCTCGAGCCAAGAAGTTGTCTGAATTGGCACTCAGAACTTCCCATCTTTATTTAACCCTCCTTCTAATTTCCGATATCCGAGGTTTCCTGTCTGCAAATTCCCTCTTAATTCTTCTTAAAACAAAAGAACCTGTCCGACCCAGGTGGGACTTGAACCCACAATCCCCAGCTCCGGAGGCTGATGCCTTATCCATTAGGCCACTGGGCCACTCCTGCCACTGTTCCCTCTCGTTTTCAGAACAAACGGCGCATTGTGTTACAGGCTGAATTCCCCCAGCATGAAGGGAGGGCGGCTTGGGAAGGGTCATTGACAGCTCAAGTAGAATTGCTCTCTGCCTGCTTCCCAAAGGCCGCCTCTGGCACATGTCGCCTCCAGCAGGGCGCAGGGCCTGAAGGCTGCCAGCTGGGAAGGAAAAATGCAAAGGGTTTCAGGGCTTGTGTTTCGCACACACTGCTCTTTGTGCGTCCTGCAGGGGGTGAGGACACGTGAAAGGAAGCCTTTATTTCCGTGGAGCTGAGCTATGGAACCCGCAGGAGGCAGGGAGGGCCACCGACTTGGACGGCTCCAGAAGGGAATTATAATAATAATAATTTTTTTATTTATACCCCGCCCTTCCCGGTTCAAAAACCGGGCTCAGGGCGGCTAACAACAAATCTAAAACAATTGTAAAAGCAGCATAAGATACAGTATAAAAACATGAATAACAATGAAATTCAAAGTTCAGAAATTTAAGGGAAATGAGCATTAGATAACCCCCCAGGGCTAGCTGGCTGAATTAGGCTAATGCTTGGAACATAATGCTTTTGATGGAGCACAGTGCTTCCGTTTGTCGGTGACAGCAGCCACGAAATTAAAAGACGCCTGCTTCATGGGAGAAAAGCAATGACAAACTTAGACAGCATCTTAAAAAGTAGAGACATCACCTTGCCAACAAAGGTCCGTATAGTTAAAGCTCTGGTTTTCCCAGTAGTGATGTATAGAAGTGAGAGCTGGACCATAAAGAAGGCTGATCGCCGAAAAATGGATGCTTTTGAATTATGGTGCTGGAGGAGACTCTTGAGAGTCCCATGGACTGCAAGAAGCTCAAACCTCTCCATTCTGAAGGAAATCAGCCCTGAGTGCTCACTGGAAGGACAGATCCTGAAGCTGAGACTCCAAGACTTTGGCCACCTCATGAGAAGAGAAGACTCCCTGGAAAAGACCCTGATGTTGGGAAAGATGGAGGGCACAAGGAGAAGGGGACGACAGAGGACAAGATGGTTGGATAGTGTTCTAAAAGCTACCAGCATGAGTTTGACCAAACTGCGGGAGGCAGTGGAAGACAGGAGTGCCTGGCGTGCTCTGGTCCAGGGGGTCACGAAGAGGCGGACACCACTAAACGACTAAACAACAACAAAGTGCTTCCGTTTGTCAGAGTAACGCTTCTGAATCCCAGTTGCTGGAAACCTCAAGAAGGAAGAAGCTTCTTGCGCATGAATCCTGATTGCAGGTTCCCCAGATGGGGCATCTGTTTGGCCGCTGTCGGAACAGGTCTATTATGGAGGTCTGTTGTAACAGCAGAACCTCCATGCCCAGGGGCAGTCTATCTCTTGAGTACCAGATAACGGGGAACAACCATTAGAAAATACTGTTGTGCTCAGGTACTGCTATGAGGTCAGGTTTCTGGACTAGGTGAGCCATTGGCCTGAGCCGGCAACAAAGCTCTTATGTTCTTATAGAGCCTCCAAGTGCAGAGACAGTCTATCTGTCTATCTATCTGGGAGGACAGGATGCTGGACTTAGATGGGGCCACTGGCCTGTTCCAAGAAGTTCTTCTACTTCCCAGTATACCTGAAGGAGCATCTCCACCCCCATCGTTCTGCCCGGACGCTGAGGTCCAGCGCCGAAGGCCTTCTGGCAGTTCCCTCAGTGCGAGAAGCAAAGCTACAGGGAACCAGGCAGAGGGCCTTCTCGGTAGTGGCTCCCTCCCTGTGGAACACCCTCCTATCAGATGTCAAAGAGATAAACAACTACCTGACATTTAGAAGACATCTGAAGGCAACCCTGTTCAGGGACGTTTTTAATGTGTGACATTTTAATGTATTCTTAATCTTTGTTGGAAGCTGCCCAGAGTGGCTGGGGAGGCCCAGCCAGATACAGTGGTACCTTGGGTTACATACGCTTCAGGTTACAGGCGCTTCAGGTTACAGACTCCGCTAACCCAGAAATAGTGCTTCAGATTAAGAACTTTGCTTCAGGATAAGAACAGAAATCGGGCTCCAGCAGCACGGCAGCAGCAGGAGGCCCTATTAGCTAAAGTGGTGCTTCAGGTTAAGAACAGTTTCAGGTTAAGAACAGACCTCCGGAATGAATCAAGTACTTAACCCGAGGTACCACTGTACAAATAAATTATTATTTGTACTGGGCTGGGGAGGCCCAGTACAAAATTATCATCATCATCATCATCATTATCATCATTATTCTGAGGTTCTGATGTCTCCCATTTGCTCCTTCCGCAGAGCTGAGGATGCTGCCGTACATGATCACCATCGGAGACGCCATCCACAACTTCGCCGATGGACTGGCCGTTGGCGCCGCCTTCTCCTCTTCTTGGAAGACGGGTCTGGCCACCTCGCTGGCCGTCTTGTGCCACGAACTGCCCCACGAGCTCGGTGCGGAGGCAGGAGGGGCTGGGCATGGCATGGCACCGAAGGCAGGGTTGGGGTTTATTTATTTATTGCGGTGGAGGAAGCCGGCGGGCAGACGAAAAGGAAGTCCTTCTCCGCACAGCACGTCATTAAACTGTGGAACTCCCCGCCACAGTAATCCTAGTTGCTGGAAACCCCAGGAAGGGAGAGGGGTCTTGTGTTCGAATCCTGCTCGCTGGTTTCCCGTTGGGGCATCTGCTTGGCCATTGTGAGTTCAGGGTGCTCAGTCTTTCCCATCCTGACGCCCTCCGTATATGTTGTACTACGACTCCCATCAGCCTTAGTGCCTTATGGCTATGCCGGCCTGTGGATCATGGTAGCCGCAGCATCTGAGGGGCGCCAGGATGGGGAAGGCTGAGCCGGGATATGCCGCATGGTGGCAAAACAACGCCGCAATTTTGCTTTTCCATTCGACGGGGCAAGCGCTCAGAGTGGGCTGCTGCAAGCTCCTGATAAATAAGTTGGAGTTCTTGTTATTGAATATACCAAGAAAAAAGCACACCAAGAACTCTGGCCAATATAAGTTTCAGTAGTGGGAGTGGTCCCACTCACAAATCAATAGTCAATTGTAACAAAAACTAATCCATTCAGAAGTATGTATTCTGACAAGGATTACAAACTCAAACAGAGATTACAAACTCAAACTCGTAAGGATATGTATAACACAATAATTCATTACAGAATTAGAGATAAGAGTTTATGAGTAGAGATACCGGTAAGTTCATGTTAGTCCATAGTCAGATTCGATGTGAAGGTCTTAGTTTCAATCATTGAATCATAGAATCATAGAATCACAGAGTTGGAAGAGACCACAAGGGCCATCGAGTCCAACCCCCTGCCAAGCAGGAAACACCATCAGAGCACTCCTGACATATGGTTGTCAAGCCTCTGCTTAAAGACCTCCAGAGAAGGAGACTCCACCACACTCCTTGGCAGCAAATTCCACTGTCAAACAGCTCTTACTGTCAGGAAGTTCTTCCTAATGTTTAGGTGGAATCTTCTTTCTTGTAGTTTGGATCCATTGCTCCGTGTCCGCTTCTCTGGAACAGCAGAAAACAACCTTTCTCCCTCCTCTATATGACATCCTTTTATTTATTTGAACATGGCTATCATATCACCCCTTAACCTCCTCCTTTTGAGCAGAAGTCAAAAGTCAGTTATGGATTAGAAGCCAGGACAGGGCCCTGTTTCGATGTATTCACCTTCAGCAGCTGGAAGTATCAAACATTACGTGAATATACATTTAAATTCTAAATTATCATAAATTATAAAACAGTCATAAATTATAAATTATTGTGTTATACACATCCTTATGAGTTTGAGTTTGTAATCTCTTTTTGGGTTTATAATCTCTATTTGAGTTTGTAATCCTTGTCAGAATACATACTTTTGAATGGATTAATTTTTGTTACAATTGACTACTGGGTGCGAGTAGGGACCACTCACACTACTGAAATTTATATTGGCCAGAGTTCTTGGTGTGCTTTTTTCTTGGCAAGCTCCTGAGAAGGCAGTGTTGCCTAGCAGGTAGATCCTGGGCAGCTTCCCAGCAGGGATCTGAAGCAGGGATGCTTCCCCTCCACCCCCAAATGATAGGGACGGGGTGTCTCCTTCGGGCTGCGTGATACCTGGCCGAATGCCGCCGCTCCTAGTAGAATCATGGAATTATAGACGTAGAGGGGAACCCTGACACCATCTAGTCCAGCCTCCTGCAATGCAGGAATCTCAGCTAATTAATGGCTGACCATCTTCCTCCCGCCTTTGCAGGGGACTTTGCCGCCCTGCTCCACGCCGGGCTGAGCGTCAAGTGGGCTTTGCTGCTCAACTTCCTCAGCGCCCTCACAGCCTTCCTGGGCCTCTACATCGCGCTTTCTGTGTCCACGGGAGAAGAGTTCGAGGCCTGGATTTTCACCGTGGCCACTGGCCTCTTCCTCTACGTGGCCCTGTGCGATATGGTAAGCAGGGAGAGTTCTACCCCTGGCAGTTGTTCTCATAGGCGCCGACTCCATGGGGCTTGAGGGGGCCCGAGCCCCCTCAAAAATTCGTTTGGGGGGGCTCCGCCCCCCCAATAATCTCCGGCGCCCCTCCAGCAGAGCGCCATCGCCGCCCCTCCCCCAGCCCAAAATGCACAGGGAGGGGCGGGCTGCATGCCTCCTGCCCTCCCTCCCGAGCAAAAGCTCCACCCAATTTCCTTTGGAGCTGATTAATAGGCGCAGCACGCTCTCCCCTATTCGCTCACGAGGAGGCGGCGCCACTTTATTTGCATATTCATGAGCTTATTTATTATTCATGAGCTTTCCCGGGCCCCCCCAATATTTTTTATAAGTCCGCGTCCCTGGTTGTTCTCCTTTTCTTACCATTCTCCCACCTGATTATTATTATTATACCACAGAGCCTCTTGGGCTTGCCGATCGGAAGGTTGGCGGTTCGAATCCCCGCGACGGGGTGAGCTCCCGTTGTTCGGTCCCTGCTCCTGCCAACCCAGCAGTTTGAAAGCACGTCAAAGTGCAAGTAGATACAGTGGTCCCTCTGGATGCGAACGGGATCTGTTCTGGAGCCCCGTTCGCATCCTGAAGTGAACACAACCCACGTCTGCGCATGCGCGGGTCGCAATTCACCACTTCTGCACATGCGTGTGACGTCATTTTGAGCGTCTGCAGGTGCGTGAGCGGCGAAACCCGGAAGTAATGCACTCTGTTACTTCCGGGTCGCTGCGGAGCACAACCCGAAAAGGCTTAACCTGAAGCGACTTCAACCCAAGGTATGACTGTAAATAGGTACCGCTCTGGCGGGAAGGTAGACGGCGTTTCCGTGTGCTGCTCTGGTTCGCCAGAAGCGGCTTAGTCACGCTGGCCACGTGACCCGGAAGCTGTACGCCGGCTCCATCGGCCAGTAAAGCGAGATGAGCACCGCAACCCCAGAGTCGGCCACGACTGGACCTAATGGTCAGGGGTCCCTTTACCTTTACTAGTTTAGGGAAAACATGTGTAAGTGGGGAAATGAGAGAAGCATGTAAAATTACAAATGGTGTCATATGAGTCAACTCCAGGAGGTCATGGGTGCTTGGGCACCCACAAGAATATAATTTTGGGGTCCGGGTACCCACATAGTCAAGGTCACCAAGTCAGCCGGCAGCAGTGCTGCCTCTGAGAGAGAAGCGGTCCAGCTCCACCTTCCACAGCCAGTAGTAATAGTAATAGTAATAGTAATTTATTATTTGTACCCTGCCCATCTTGCTGGGTTTCTCCAGCCACTCTGGGCGGCTTCCAACAAAGATTAAAAATACATTAAAATGTCACTCATTAAAAACTTTTCTGAACAGGGCTGCCTTCAGATGTCTTCTAAATGTCAGATAGTGGTTTATCTCTTTGACATCTGGTGGGAGGGCGTTCCACAGGGCAGGTGCCACCACCGACAAGGCCCTCTGCCTGGTTCCCTCTAACTTGGCTTCTTGCAGGGAGGGAACCGCCAGAAAGCTCTGCACTGGACCTCAGTGTCCGGGAAGAACGATGGGGGTGGAGACGCTCCTTCAGTTATACTGGCCAGCCACCGAGGCACCCTTTTCGAGGGCTAGGGGAGGCACAGACACAATAGCAGGGTCTCTCTGCCTCCGAGTACAAGCCCCTCCACTGGCTGTGGAGAGGAGGAAGAAGAGGAGCTGCTGCCATCGACCGCCGCAACGCGGATGTGCGCCGTTGCACACACGTGCCCGCATGTAGCGTGTGTGCCGTCACACATCCACATTGTGGCGGCGGGCACCCAAGATCCTGAGGGCGAGTTGGCACCCCTGAATGTTGTGGCGAAAGTGGGTGCTAGAACTTATGACTATACAATGAAGCTGTATTGTCCCAAAAAAGTTTTTGATTTGAGTTCCTACTGAAATGAGGCTGCATTTTAATGTTGTGCTTCAATCTTGTTTTTAGGTTGTATTTTAATCAATTGTTTTTATACCTGGTGTTAGCCGCCCTGAGCCCGGTCTTGGTTGGGGAGGGCGGGGTATAAATAAAATTTATTGTTATTATTATTAATATATGGTTGGATAGTGTTATCGAAGCTACAAACATGAGCCTGACCAAACTGCGGGAAGGCGGTGGAAGACAGGAGTGCCTGGCGTGCTTTGGTCCGTGGGGTCACGAAGAGTCGGACACGACTAAACGACTAAACAACAAACTCTGTAGTTTGCTCAGACAAGATGTCTCCGAATATACCAGTAGCTGGGAGTCGCAGGTGTGGCGAGTGTTGCACAGGCCTCACTTCTAGGCATCCCATAGTCACCTGCAAGGACGACAGGATGCTAGACTCAATAGGCCCTGTTGGCCTGATCCTGCCGTCTGCCTCTTCTTACGCTTGATTATTTATTTGTTACAACAATAACAACCAATTTATTACTTATACCCCACCCATCTGGCCAGGGGTCCCCAGCCACTCTGGGCAGCTTCCAGTAGGGCATTAAAAACCCAATAAAACATCAGACATTAAAAACTTCCCTAAACAGGGCTGCCTTCAGATGTCTTCTAAAAGTCAGATAGTTATTTATTTCCTTGACATCTGGTGGGAGGGCGTTCCACAGGGCGGGTGCCACCACTGAGAAGGCCCTCTGCCTGGTTTATATCTCACCTTCTCTTCCAAGGAGTGCACAGTATCGTACACAGTTGTCCCTCCCATCTTAATTAATCCCCACAACAACAGCCCTGCGAGGGAGGTTAGGCTGAGAGGCAGTGGCTGGCCCAGGAAGCTTCGTGATGGCCAGGCGTGGATTCGAACCTTGGTCTCCTGGGTCCTAGTATGATGCCCTAACCGCTGCACCACACTGTCTCTGATGTACACAAACAATAGATGGCATGAATGAGTTCTGTGGGCAATTTCTGGAAGAGTGGGACAAGGAAGGGAAGGGAAGGGGTGGGTTAAAGAATTAGACTGAAATCGGGGCACAAGGAGACTGGGCTTGTGGGACCCATTCTGTGGTGCTCGCTAATCTCCCCTCTCTGCTCTGGTTTGCAGCTCCCGGCCCTGATGAATGTGAAAGATAAGCGCCCGTGGCTCCTCTTTGCCCTGCAAAACGTGGGACTCTTGGCTGGCTGGGGCATCCTGCTGGTGCTTTCCATCTTTGAGGACAGAATCGCACTTTGAGCGCAGCTGGGCACCTCTCGTTTGCCTGCCGGCGTGGCGAGGTCCGGGCTGTCCTCCGCCAGAGACTGGAGAGTGGGCGGACAACGGCCCGGCTGTCATCATCCTCAAAATCAAAGACTGGGGACTTTCTTTGCCACCCATGCCCACAGCATGGCCTTGAACGATGCCCATGCCACGGCTCCCCTCTCCCTCTCCTCCTATTTATTGCATTTCGACATGCCACCCTAATCTCAAAACGGTGCGCATTTCAGGGGTTGCAGGCGTGCTTGACCCAGGGTCTGGTCTTCCTTTGGAAATGCGGCACAGCAGAGACTGTGGCGTCTCTATGATATATGGTTTATTTACCTGTCTACACAACCTGAGTCTAGATGGTGGGCAGATAGCAGAATTCCAGCTAGGCTTGGTTCCCATCTATGATCTTTACTTGAAACACAATGCCCCCCCCCCCGAGGCTGGGCAAGGGAATGGTCGTTGGGCCAGTGAAGGGGCCCTTCTGAGTCTCTGGGGCCAGTGCCCCACTGGGCTGACCGCTGGTGTGAATAATAAGAGACCAATTCAGAAGCCAAAAGCTAGTCCTAGCTGGGTAAATCAAGGGGAGGAAAGCTGCTAGTTCAGGGGTGAAAGACCAGGGGTTCGTCTGCTGGTGTGTCCTGTTAAAAGCATCTTAGCTTTCTCTGCTTGGGAACCTGGAAAGAAAAGCATGACTTATTAAGACAGCCCTCTGGGCGGGACACAAGCTGGCTGGGCCTGATGGGAATTGTAGTCCGGAACAGCTGGAGCGGCTCCAGCTTAGCAAAGTCAGGTGTAATAATTCTGCAGGGATGGATTTAGGGCTACGCTTGTGGGGCACCCGCACTGGGCGCTGAGCCGAGGTGCTGGGCTTTGGGAAGGACGCATGAGGCTCTGACAGTGTCTTAGAGTCCTTCCGCCTCCTTCCAAAAGCCTAGTTAGTGCTTTCCCAGCTTTGGGAAAGAGCTGGGAGGGCTCTGGGACTCTGCCAGAGCCCTTGCACCTCCTTTCCAAAGTCTGGCGCCTCCTTACCCACCTTTGGGAAGGCAGTGAGAGGGCTGGGGTGTCAAATGTTGGCCTCGCACAGGATGTTGTTGGGGACCGTGCTGAGGAGGGCTGCATTGAGGAGGAATGGTGGAAGTCCACCCTGCTTCCCCTGCTCCAGACCCTGAATCTTCCCAGGAGCAGGATGACAGTATAGATTTGGAACAGTGGTTCGTAGAGGGACATAGTTCAGAAGGCAGCAGCTGGGAAATACTGGATGGGGAACAGCTAGGAGAAGAAACATTGGGAGAGAGAGGGTTAACAGATTCACTGTCTCTGGGAAGCATTCCTCCGCTCTCCCCAAGGTCAAGAAGAGCTGAGAAAGCGGCAAAACAGAAAGCACACAAAACACAGAGGGGACAGGCTCAGATTACAAGAGGTAGCAGTGATGTGGATTAATAAGGACGTAAGGGGGTGGGATTCTTAATTGGGAGCTCCACCATTTCTAGGAGATGGGTTCTTTGTTCTCTCGCTGTGATTATTAAAGTTTCTAACCGATAAGAAGACTCCTTTTCCTTTGTTCTGCTTATCTACTGCCACGGGGGGGGGGGGCGATTCCCTGAAGCCTGACAGGTGCCATAGTACTCAAATCCACCACTGAATTCCGCAATTGTTCTTTTTATATATATATGTGTGTGTGTGTATACACATACACACACACATTTTTATTAATTTATTAACTTTTATTAATTTTAAATTTAAATTTTATTAAATTTTATTAAATTTTTCATATATCATTTCCAACAGTCATTTAACATAACATCTTATACAATATTTTAGACTTCCGTCAACAACCTCTGAAGATTTTCCGTTCTTTATCACTTGTTCTGCATTTCTTAGTTTCTCTATTACTTTTAATTATCATTAACTAATAATTCTCTTCATAGTCTTCCTTGCAATATTTCACATAATCCTCCTTACAGAATTTCTTGCAGTCCTACTAGCGTAATCTGTTTATTACAATTGCTTTTCAAATAATTCAAGTCTTTACTCCAGTCTTCTAAGAATCTCTGATCCCGCAGGTTTCGAATCCTTCCTGTTCATTTATCAAATTCTGCATAGTCCATTAATTTCATTTGCCGTTCTTCTTTCGTCGGTAATTCTTCTTGCTTCCATTTTTGTGCCAATAATATTCTTGCTGCCGAATTCCTCAGTCGTTCTATGGCTCAATTTCTATCTCACATTTGAGGAGCCGGCCCAACTGTTTGCCCTTTGGGTGAAGGAACCGTCGTCCCTTTTTCGCCTTCCTTCGAAAACTCATCTGCTGGATCTCAAATCGAGCTGGAAGATGTGCCTTTTGATTGGAAGACCTGCCTCTCCCCCTTCCAATATGTCTGAGGTTGGGCTGTAGATAATTCAGCGGCAAGGACTCCACACGTGCTCTGTGGCACTCTGGTCCTTACCCCTTGCTGCTGCAAATCTGATGCCTGGAGTCCAGCGAAGAAGCCCAGCCAAACCCTCCCTTTTCTCCTTCTCAACATCATCTTCTTTCCAAAGAGTTTTATCTGGGAGCCGTGCTGTCTTTCTGCCCCCAAATCCATAAGGTGCTGTCCAGAATCCAGATGTAGGGATCTCTCTGCCCTGACCCTGAGCACTGCAACCGTCACGCAGGCTGCGGTAGACCGATGGGTGACCGATGTAGCTCCTTTGTGTGGAATCTACTGTTTCCTGTCTTGTCAATGGTAAATAAAAATCTGTGGGTTTTAAGTGTTTCTCATCTCTTGCCTTGCAATGCACGTTTGGATCGGGGAAAGAGCTTGCGGCTGCAGAGGGGAGGGTCCCAGTGGAGAAGAAGCCCCTGGGCAGATATTTATGATGGACTCCAAGCCTAGAGGCTAAAACGGGAGACACACAACTCATTTCCAACTGCAAGGGGTGTGTACACGCCTGTTACGGAAAATCTAGGTGTGAGGCTGCTCAGTCACCCAGCTCACCGGGTTGAGCCCACGGGTCCCTGTGGAATAAAGGATGGAGTCCAGCCACCAACCGGAGCAAATAGCTGTAGACCCAAGTTTGTTGCGCAACCGGTTCAAAGAGGAATTTTGAACCCCGAGGATGGGGTGACAAGGACTTTTAAAACTTTCCCACCATATCCCAGAATACAGTTCGTACAGCATCATTGCTACATCACTGACATGTCACAAAAGGGGAGGGGTAGACAGGGGTTACACTAGTTTAACCTTGGCAAACCTGTCCAGACAAGTCCTCGGTACAAGATTAGCATTCCGTAACAACGCCATTGTCATCAAATCACTGTTTTTTTGTTCCCCTGCCCTTCACCCTAAGGTCCCAGGCCAGGTTACAGCGTTAAAACACAACATTGAAAACAATTTATAACAACTTACAATCATAAGGTAAAGGTAAAGGGACCCCTGACCATTAGGTCCAGTCGTGGCCGACTCTGGGGTTGCAGCGCTCATCTCACTTTACTGGCCGAGGAAGCCGGCATACAGCTTCCGGGTCATGTGGCCAGCACGACTAAGCCGCTTCTGGCAAACCAGAGCAGCGCACGAAAACGCCGTTTACCTTCCCGCTGGAGTGGTAACTATTTATCTACTTGCACTTTGACGTGCTTTCGAACTGCTAGGTTGGCAGGAGCAGGGACCGAGCAACGGGAGCTCACCCTGTCGCGGGGATTCGAACTGCCGACCTTCTGATCAGCAAGTCCTAGGCTTTATGGTTTAACCCACAGCGCCACCTGGAATGCCACTTGCCCTGTATGATACAGGATTGTCCCTTATATCCAGTGCTACCTTTTGTAGAAAAAGAGGTGCCAGAACTCACCACGAACAACTCTTAGAATGGCCCTGGCGCCCACCTGAGAGTTGCCAGAGCTGAGTTCTGGCTGAAGGAAAAGCCCTGCTTACACTAGTGGACAAAATTGTGGCAACCGTTTGGAGAAAGCATTTCTGAGGTTTGATGGCTCGTAACACCACTTTTTTTTTTTAGTACTACCATAAAATTACCGTATTTTTCGCTCTATAGGACGCACCCGACCATAGGACGCACCTTGTTTTAGAGGGGGAGAACAATAAAATTCTCCCCCTCTCTGCTCAGCGCCCCTTCAGCGAAGCGGCAGGAGAAACGGAGCCCCTTCCATTTCTCCTCCCGCTTGGCTGAAGGGGCGCTGAGCAGCTCTCCCTCTCTGCTGAAGCCAGGAGAGTCTTGCTCTCCTGGCTTCAGCAAAAGGAACCCGAAGCCTTTGGAACACAGCGCGAGGTCCCGCTGCGCTCCAAAGGCTTCAGGCGGCTATCCCTGAAGCCTGGAGAGCGAGAGGGGTTGGTGCGCACCAACCCTCTCGCTCTCCAGGCTTCAGCGAAAGCAACACGCTCCCTTTGCGCTTCGGAGGCTTCGCATTGCTATTGCTGAAGCCAGGGAGCCTGCATTTGCTCCATAGGACGCACACACATTTCCCCTTAATTTTTGGAGGGGGAAAAAGTGCGTCCTACAGAGCGAAAAATACGGTATTTATCAATGGAAAAATAATTTTATGCAGAATGTAGTGGTGTTATGAGCCACCAATCCTCGGAAATACACTTTTCCCAAAAGGTTTCCTCAGTTTTGGCCACTAGTGTATATCAGTGTAAAATGCTATGTCCTGTATTGATTAAATAATGTTGTAAACAAAATCTGCCCTTATTTCCCTTATGGGGGACACAAGAGCCCTTATAGAGTCCTTTGTAGGTTCTCCATCGGCAGGAGTAAAGAACAGAGGCTAACCAGAGAATATTGAGAAGCAAAGCAGCCAGTAAGCCTGATCTTTATTGAACTGTTGCAACAGAACAAAGGTGTGCCTGCCCTTTTATAGACATTTTAAATTGCCCGCCCTGGAGTCCGAGACCACCCCCAGAAACCTCATACATACATCACAGAAGGGGTGTAGCCCAAGACCACCTTCCAGATAGATCATACCTACATCCCAGAAAAGGCGGTCTACAACAGAAATTTGAACGTTGTTGTTTTCCTGTCTGCCAGGTTATCTGATAATGCCTTATCTGATTGCCTTTCTTGGTTTTCTGGCCATTCCTTTGAGATGGTAATCACTTAATTCCTGAGACAAGGGGAAGGTTCCCCCACCCCCTCCCTCCTTGCAGAGAAACATTTGATCAGTTTTGGGAGTCAAAATGGTTTCAGGACAGTCTTCCTGTGCTGCTCCAGACATGTGGTTTATATATTTATGTACGTGTTCGCTTGGTACATTTATGAACACTTATTATATATAAAGGTAAAGGGACCCCTGACCATTTGGTCCAGTCGTGACCGACTCTGGGGTTGTGGCGCTCATCTCGCTTTACTGGCCGAGGGAGCCGGCATACAGCTTCCGGGTCATGTGGCCAGCAGGACTAAGCCGCTTCTGGCGAACCAGAGCAGCGCATGGAAATGCCATTTACCTTCCCCACCTATTTATCTACTTGCACTTTGACGTGCTTTGGAACTGCTAGGTTGGCAGGAGCAGGGACCGAGCAATGGGAGCTCACCCTGTCGCGGGGATTCGAACCGCAACCTTCTGATCGGCAAGCCCAAGGCTCTGTGGTTTAACCCACAGTGCCACCCGTGTCCCTTATTATATAGATGAGACCTTAAAATTTTAATAATAATAATAATGTAATAATAAATAACAATAATGTAATAATAATAATAGGGACGCGGGTGGCGCTGTGGGTAAAAGCCTCAGCGCCTAGGGCTTGCCGATTGAAAGGTCGGCGGTTCGAATCCCCGCGGCGGGGTGCGCTCCCGTCGTTCGGTCCCAGCGCCTGCCAACCTAGCAGTTCGAAAGCATGTCAAAGTGCAAGTAGATAGATAGGGACCGCTTACCAGCGGGAAGGTAAACAGCGTTCCATGTGCTGCGCTGGCTCGCCAGATGCAGCTTCGTCACGCTGGCCACGGGACCCGGAAGTGTCTGCGGACAGTGCTGGCCCCGGCCTCTTAAGTGAGATGGGCGCACAACCCTAGAGTCTGTCAAGACTGGCCCGTAGGGGCAGGGGTACCTTTACCTTTAATAATAATAATAATAATGTAATAATAATAATAATAATAATAATAATAATAATAATATATAAATAATAATGTAATAAATAATAACATAATAAATAATAACATTATAATAATAATGATAATTAATAATAATAATAATAATAATAATAATAATAATAAAATAATAATAATCATCCCCCTTTATGTATTTACCCCTTTCTTCTCTGCTTCTGCCCTCTCTCTTCTCCCTCTCTCAATTCCCCCCCTTGCTTCTTTCTTTCCCTTTTTTCCCTCCTCCCTCCCCACATCCCACCCAGGACAAGACTTCTTCCATTTGCCCCCCAAACGCCTCTGCACGCCTCACAAGCTCAACTCCGCGCGGCACCTCTACACTTTCCTAGGTCTATCGTTACGTCCCGCTCGGCGAGGCCCTTGCCATTGGACCTCCGGCTTGCCGCTCATTCCCCTCGCCGCCAATCAGGAGTCCGGTTCCGCCTTCCGCCCTCGCGAATGGGCCGAAGGTTCCGGCGGGAGCGGTTTCCTCCCGGACCGGTTATGCCTGCGCACCCCGCCGGCTGAGGGGGAGTTGAGGGCGGGGGAGGTAAGGCCGGGGCCCGGGATGGCGGGGGGGGGGGGAGAAGCTGAGGGGGGGAGGGGGAAGGGGAGCCGGTCCGTCCCGGGAAACCGGCCCTCCGAGGAGCCCCGGGGCGGGTGGCCCTCGAGGGCGCCTTTGGGCCCCTGCAGGAGCGGCTCCAGTGAACGGGGCCCCCTCGCCCGACCCCCGCCAGAGCAAGGCCTCAGGGCTCTGCCCTCCCTCCCCCCTCAATATATATCATATACTGTGTATATCAAATATATGCCATATATGAGATCATCTGTATCATATGCATATATTTATCATGTATTTTATATAATATATATATATATATGATTTCAAAAATATATTTTATTAAATATATATCACATATATATATATATATCAAATATAGTGGAAGACAGGAGTACCTGGCGTGTTCTTGTCCATGGGGTCACGAAGAATCAGACACACCTAAACGACTAAGCCAACAAATCAAATATATGTCATATGTTTCATACACATATCTCTATCATATATGATTTTTTTAAAAATATTTTATTAAATATGTATCATATATCAAATATATGTCATATATCGTATATATATATATATATATATATATAGTGGTACCTCACATTACATACGCTTCAGGTTACAGACTCCACTAACGCAGAAATAGTGCTTCAGGTTAAGAACTTTGCTTCAGGATGAGAACAGAAATTGTGCTGCGGCAGCAGTTGGAGGCCCCATTAGCTAAAGTGGTGCTTCAGGTTAAGAACAGTTTCAGGTTAAGAATGGACCTCCGGAACGAATTAAGTTCTTAACCCGAGGTACCACTGTATAGTGGAAGACAGGAGTGCCTGGTGTGTTATATGTATCATATATATCAAATATATGTCATATATACACACACACACACACACAGTCATACTTCGGGTAGAAGTAGCTTCGGGTTGAGCATTTTTTGGTTGCGCTCTGTGGCGACCCAGAAGTAATGGCGCACGTTATTTCTGGGTTTCGCCACATGCGCAGACTCTCAAAATGATATCACACGCATGCACGGAAGACGCGGGTTGTGTTCGCTTCAGGATGCGAATGGGGCTCCGGAACGGATCCCATTCGCATCCAGAGGTACCACTGTATATGATTTTTACAAAATATTTTATTAAACAAACATTACATACAAAAAACAAACTAATGTTATATTGGATATTTCTAGACTTAAGATCATTATTAAAGTATACATAAATTGTCAAGAAATCTAGAATAGATGTATATTATATAAAGGAAATAAGAAGAGAGAGGGGAAAAGAAGAAAAGGAAAACGCACAACGATAAAACCAAAAAATTAACATAACTAAAACTAACTGTCAAACAAAAAGCGTTATTTGATTAATTCAGACCGGTACCAGGGAGAAATCTTGGGTGGATCAAATATCAGAGTTGCCTAGGTTACCCAAAAATGCTTCTCCCCCAACTATTCTGGTCTCTTCAGAGGATTGGTGGTCTCTCAGATGTTGTTGGACCCCAGCACTCATCAGCCCCAGCTATCAGGGACAATGGTCTGGGATGATGGAAGTTGCAGTCCCACATTTAGAGTGCCACAGGTTTCCCATCCCTGCAATACACTGCTGGGCCATGTCTATGAGGGATTAATTGTTCTAGCCATATTGCTTTAAGCTTATCTGTCAGTTCAGATGAATATAGCACTACCCCAAAGACAGCTGTCAATCAGGCCCAATGTGTGGATGCCGGGGTAAGGGAAGTGTCTCCTGGGAGTAGCTAATGTGACCCCCTCCAGATGTTACTGTACTACAACTCCCACCATCCCTGACCTTTTGCCACGTTGGCTGGGGTTGGAGTCGAGCGGTATCTGAGAGCACCAGATTGGCCATCTTTGGCATCCAGTTGAGGTCCGGGACTCTGGGTGCCTTGAAGGACCTTCATCTCCCAACTTCATTTTATTTCATAAAATCCGTATTCTGCTTCATTGTTTTTTTTTAAAAAAAAGAATCCTCAAAGTGGTTTGCTAAGAGAAAAAAACAAGAAAATTACCTTTAAAAACAACTGTTTGAAACATTCAGAAGGTAAAATCAGCAATAAACTAAAAACAGATTAAAACACACACCGGTGTTCTTCTACATGTCTGAGTAGGCTTGTCTGAATTAAAATGTTTTTAGCAAGCACTTTAAAGATTACATGGAAGGCGCCTGTCTGATGTCAATTGGCAGGGAATTCCAAAGTGTATGTTCTACTGCCCTAAAAGATTGATTTCTTGCAATGTGGAAGGAGTATTATGTGGCACCTGTAATACTGCCAGTTGCTCAGGTTGAAGTAGTTGATTGGGCCCATATGGGGTAAGGTGATCTTGTAGGTAAACTGGTCCCATGTTGTGATCTATTGCAGGTAACGTAGCAGCAGAGTCCCCTCCTTTGGCTACAGCTAGTTGGTAGATAGGCTGACATCTCTCAGGGTCGGGTCCTGCTGTGGGCTTGTGTCCTGGCCTGCTCGCCGCTTTCCCCACACTGAGTTGTGCCTTTCTGCAGGGAGCCTGCGGAGATGTATGCCGTGTACAAGCAGGCGCACCCTCCCACTGGGCTGGAGTTTTCCATGTACTGTAACTTCTTCTCCAACGCCGAGCGCAACTTGGTGGTGGCAGGGACCTCTCAGCTGTACGTGTACAGGCTCAACCATGACTCTGAGGTACGGTGGACCGCCTGCTTGGGGGTGATGTATGTTGGAGGGATCCAGGAGGAAGGGAACCATGGCCTTTCACTTTTATGGTGGGTGTGCATCTCCTGAAAACAACAGGCCATGGGTTGGGCAACAACAAAAGAGTTCTTTCCCACAATGTAAAATTGTGGAGCACCTGAAACTGACCCTGCCTCAGACAAGTGGTCTTGACAAATGGGGAGAGGCCTGGCCCAGCAGTGTTGGAGAGCCAGGCTTAAACAGGATGCAGCCCCCGCCCAGGGACATTAGCTGATTGTCAGGTAGGCATGGTTAGGAGGAAATGGCATAGGAACCCCCAACAGGCCAAGATTGGCCTGTGGGCCAGAAGTTTCTCACTCTTTAGTTCAGGGCACATCTCTGAGTTTTGCCTCCAGCTTCCCAAGGGCATATGCCCTGCAGAATTTCTCCTGTTCGGTGATAATGCTGAACTTGGATGAGGCAACTTCCCCTTACTGGCGTCCCTGGAAACTGATTTCTACCCCCACCCAACCCAAGCACGGATGTGGCCTTGCAGCTCTCGCTGAACTGCATTAGGATGGAAAGTGCCTGTAAGGACTGGAACTGGCCGTCCCTCCCTCCCCGCTTCCAATCTCTCTCACAAACACAGCCTTGTCGTTAAGCACCCACCTCGTCACCTAAAGCAACAAGAAACTACATGCAGGCAAATTCATAGACTTGTGTGTGGGCTGGCAGATGTGCAGAGTGTTCAAACCGTCCTCTGCACCAAGTGCAGTAGAGACTGCATAGTGAGCATTGGAACTCCCCATCCCCGCCTTTTTTTTGCAGGCTATTAACTTTTGTGGGCCAATTTGCAAAACTGCACAAACCCCGTATCCTGCCCCTCTGCTCTTCTCGTGCCAGATGGTGGTCTTCGCGTGGGTGCCTTTTGTGTAATTGCTTCCAGCACTCAAGTAGATTCCCTGGAGCTCTTGTTCTTTTGAGCCGGCCTGGAATTAACGTTCCTTTTGCAGAGAAAGAGTGATGGTGGCCCAGCAGGGCGGATTTGTTGACCTGCTCTTTTTTAGAAGATAGAAGGAACTGACTGTGGCAGCCTTTGCAGCAGGGAGGCCTGGAAACCCTGGCCCTGCTCCCTAGGGTGGGTGTTTCATCCAGAGCCAAAGAGGCCCGAAAGACAGCTGAAATGTTAGAAATGGGTAGCGTCAACTGGGGAGTTGGTTTGGAGAGACCTGGCACACTGAGAGCCATGGAAAGATTTGGGGTGGTGCGGTTATGGTCTGCATCCTAGGGGTGTGCAGTTCTGGGGATGGAAGGGAAAGCAATGCACAGGTGATTTGCCATTCTTTGCTTTCTCTCTGGAGCCTTAATGCAGCTTTGAGCAATGCCTTGGCACGCTGCCCCAGAGAGACGGGAGGTGCCGGCCTCCTCAGCCAGACTGTGCAGCTGGTGCAGTGCGCCTGCATTGATGCTGCAGGACTGACGGTGTTCCTTTGCTTCTCTTCTAGACCTCGACCAAAAATGACAGGATCTCTGGTGAGTGGGGTGTGGGGAGCTGGGGCTGCAGTGTGCAGGCATTGAGGGCGTGGGGTGGGGGGAAGACTCTGCAAAGGAGCTGTGGAACCAGAAAGCCTGTATTAAGAGGTTGCCTTGGAAGAAGGCTGCTTGAAGGAAGCTGCTTCTGCAGCCCCCATGGGTAGCTCAGCTGGGAGAGCAGCACACTGAAGGCCCAGGGTTCAAATCACTGGTCAGGCATGATTTTATACCCGTTTCTGGGAACCACAGAAGGAGGGGAGAGCGATCTTGTGCTTGAATCTTGCTTGTGGGTTTCCCATAAGGGCATCTTGTTGGCCATGTGAGAACAGGTTGCTGCACTAGATGGACTGCTGGCCTGAGCCAGCAGGTGGTTATTATATTCTTATAGTGGGCTCTGATTTTCTTGCCCGGCAGGCTCTCCCAGGTGCTGTCTTGGGGCCGTAAGTGCTTGGTTTCTTCTGGTGCCAATTCTCTGGGGCCCCAAGAATGGTCTCTGCTGAAACGAGAGCTACATCTAGGCAGCCCTCCAAGCAGCCATTGATCCTGGACCTGCACACTTCTTCGCAAATGCCTACCCAGCTCATGTACCCTAGCTCTCAAGGGTGGAGCACACGCATGTGTCAAGATGATTTTGGTGCAGCAGGTTTGGGAAAGATCTCTCCGCATGAGGCCTTGCAAAGAGGCTGCTTCTCAGAGTATGCCAGCCTTACCCAACCTGGTGCCCTCCAGATGTTTTGGAATGCAACACCCATCAACCCTGTCCAAGCTGACTGGGGTTGATGGGAGCTGTAATCCAAAACATCTGCACAGCGCCAGGTTCAGGAAGTCTGGAGTAATTGCTGAGTAAAGGTAAAGGGACCCCTGACCATTAGGTCCAGTCGTAACCAACTGGGGTTGTGGCGCTCATCTCACTTTATTGGCTGAAGGAGTCGGCGTACCGCTTCCAGGTCATGTGGCCAGCATGACTAAGCCGCTTCTGGTGAACCAGAGCAGCGCACGGAAACGCCGTTTACCTTCCCGCCGGAGCAGTGCCTATTTATCTACTTGCACTTTGACGTGCTTTCGAACTGCTAGGTTGGCAGGAGCAGGGACCAAGCAACGGGAGCTCACCCTGTCACGGGGATTCGAACCGCCGACCTTCTGATCGGCAAGCCCTAGGCTCTGTGGTTTAACCCACAGCGCCACCCACGTTGACAGTTGTCTAATTATTGTTTTTCATATGTTTGCTGTTTTTTCTGCAGTCAGGGACTGAAGAGAAACAGCACAGCCACCTGGCCACCAGCATTGAAACACACTGAGGTTGGCTTTCCATGCTAAGCCCATCTTCTCAGTGCTTATGTAGGCAGGCCTAATGTAAAGACTTGCTAGGAACAGGTCCTCTCCCCTTCACCTAAAGCAGAACATTTAGGTGGTCCTTTCACTGGTCTTGGTAACGTCCACGGGCTGAGTTCACCTGGGGGCAGGATACAAGCTGAAAAGTTTTGGAGGCTTCTTTCAGGCACAGAAAAACAGGTTGTGGGAAGGGGCTCTGTGTGCAGCAAGGGCCTCAGAGCCTAATGCGCCTCCGCTTGCTGTCTTGCGCAGAAGGGAAAGGTCACAAGGAGAAACTCGAGCTGGTGGCTGCCTTCTCCTTCTTTGGCAATGTCATGTCCATGGCCAGCGTACAGCTCGCGGGAGCCAAGCGAGATGCCCTCCTGCTCAGCTTCAAGGATGCCAAGGTAAGGGGTCAGCTTGGGTGGGGAGCCGTGAGATGCAGAGGGCGCAGGAGCCTCAAGGCACCCTGCTTGGGGAGCTTCACATCTTGGAGGCGGTGGAGGGTTTCGATAGGTAGTGGGGTATAAGTTGGAGGCCCTCGGAGCCTTTCCTAAGGGCCCCTGGCCCCTCGACTTCCAGTTGATGGTTTATGGCACGCCTCCTGGGTGGCAATTTTGTCTGGCATGAGGCTAAACAAAATAGCCCTGGAGTTTCTTAGGCTGAATGGAAGCCAAGTCCCTTTCCAGACAACTTTCCGGACCCTCGTGGGGAGAAAATGCTTCTGAATACCAGTTGCTGGAAGGCCACAAGGAGGAGGTTTCTTGGGCTTGAATTCCTGCCTGGCTGGTTTCCCACAGCTTCTTAAGAGACAAGGAACTCTTAGTACAGCCTTGCCTCAGGCTGGAAGTCTCCAGGATTCGGTCTCGGCCCACAAGGCTCCCATAATCTTTGAAGTCTCTCAGCCATCACACAGAGTGTTGTTTGGGGAGGAAGGGAAAAGAGATTGTGAGCGCACTTTGAGCTCCTCGGTAGTGTCGTCTTGCAGCAGTTAAATGAGTTTGTGTTTTGTGAAACAGGAAGAACTGAAAAGCAACCATGCAAATTGAGGAGTGAGTTACATGGGGTTCTTCTTTAGGTTGGAAAACATGGCCTTGCAGCAGGCAGATTAGAAGTGAATAGGCACATGAGAAAATGTAGCAAGCTTTATTAGGGAAGGGAGGTAATTAGTTAGATTTATAGCCTGGCCCTCCCAAGGGTTCACTGTCGGTCAGGTTGATTATTACAATTTTCCGCTAAAGAAAGAAATGAAACTCTAGCAGATTGCCTCTAATTTCCTTTTTCCTGCCTCCTAGCTCTCCGTGGTGGAATATGATCCTGGCACCCCACGACCTGAAAACTCTCTCCCTCCATTACTTGAGGAGCCAGAGCTGAGGGTAGGTATCCTAAGGCTTGCGAAACAAAATAAAAAAATTTCTTCTACAAGCACCTTAGAGACCAACTAAGTTTGTTATTGGTATGAGCTTTTGTGTGCATGCACACTTAAGATATCTGAAGAAGTGTGCATGCACACAAAAGCTCATGCCAATAACAAACTTAGTTGGTCTCTAAGGTGCTACTGGAAGAATTTTTTAAATTTTGTTTTGACTACGGCAGACCAACACGGCTACCTACCCGTAACTAGAACTAAGGCTTACACTTTAAGTTTTGAAAGCTGCTGTGGGAGGAGCTGCCACCTGTTCTCTTTCATAGCCAAGGGACATTGTCAAATCTCTTGCAACCCCTGAGACTCTTAAGGCAACTGCTGGAATTCCTGTGTGGTGGTGATGATGATAATTTATTATTTCTACCCTGCCCATCTGGCTGGGTTTCCCTAGCCACTCTGGGCGGCTTCCAACAAAAGATTAAAAATACATTAAAACATCAGTCATTAAAAACTTCCCTAAACAGGGCTGCCTTCAGATGCCTTCTGAACGTCAGATAGTTGTTTATTTCTTTGACATCTGATGGGAGGGCATTCCACAGGGCGGGCACCACGACCGAGTAGGCCCTCTGCCTGGTTCCCTGTAACTTTGCTTCTCGCAGTGAGGGAACCACCAGAAGGCCCTTGGCGCTGGACCTCAGTGTCCGGGCAGAACGATGGGGGTGGAGATGCTCCTTCAGGTATACAGGACCGAGGCCGTTGAGGGCTTTAAAGGTCAGCACCAAAACTTTGAATTGGGCTCGGAAACGTACTGGGAGCCAATGTAGGTCTTTCAAGACCGGTGTTATGTGGTCTTGGCGGCAGCTCCCAGTCACCAGTTTAGCTGCCGCGTTCTGGATTAGTTTTAGTTTCCGGATCACCTTCAAAGATAGCCCCACATTGAGCACATTGCAGTAGTCCAAGCGGGAGATAACTAGAGCATGCACCACTCTGGCGAGACAGTCTTTGGGCAGGTAGGGTCTCAGCCTACCTGGTATCCCTCTGTCTAGCTGGTATCCCTCTGTCTCCCTGTCCATCTCACCTTCATCTCAGTATTCATTCAAAGCAGCAGCTATTGGAAAGGTGAGCAAGTGCCTGAAATAGAGAGCCATTTTGACCAGTTTGCTTTTTCAGTTAGGAGTGGGCAGCCTTTTGCAGCTGTCCTCCCTTGCGGGGAGCCCCTCACTTTGGATAGCAGCTCTCCATTTGTCAGTGAACACAACCAAGACTTCTCCCTTCCTGAATCCCTTCCAACTCTGTGCTCATCCAGACTCCCATGTCACCTTTGGGCAGGGGTCAGCAAACTTTTTAAGCAGGGGGCCGGTCCACTGTCCCTCACACCTTGTGGGGAGCCTGACTATATTTTTTTGGGGGGAAATGAACAAATTCCTATGTCCCACAAATAACCCAGAGATGCATTTTAAATAAAAGCACACATTCTACTCATGTAAAAACATGTTGATTCCCGGACTGTGTACGGCCTGGATTTTGAAGACAATTGTGCTGGATCCAGCCCCCGGGCCTTAGTTTGCCTACCCAGTATACCTGAAGGAGCGTCTCCACCCCCATCATTCTGCCCGGACGCTGAGGTCCAGCGCCGAGGGCCTTCTGGCGGTTCCCTCATTGCGAGAAGCAAAGCTACAGGGAACCAGGCAGAGGGCCTTCTCGGTAGTGGCGCCCACCCTGTGGAACGCCCTTCCAGCAGATGTCAAAGTGATAAATAACTACCTGACATTCAAGAGACATCTTAAGGCAGCCCTGTTCAGGGAAGTTTTTAACATGTGATATTTTATTGTATTTTTGGTTTTTATGGAAGCCGCCCAGAGTGGCTGGGGAGGCCCAGCCAGATGGGCGGGGTATAAATAATAAATTATTATTATTATTATTATTATTATTATTATGCATTTGGGTAAGTTCCGTGGGTTGAGAGGCACCATGTATTCCAGACCCAAGGGAGCACAGCAGATGAAAAGGAAGGGTCTCCTTCTCCCTCTTTGTCGCCCTGTCCGGTACTCATGGCCTGCTCTGTCTCTCCCCAGGATGGCTTTGTGCAGAACGTCCACATCCCCAAAGTGCGGGTGGACCCTGATGGGCGCTGCGCGGTGGATGCTCATCTATGGCACAAGGCTGTGGTGCTGCCATTCCGCCGAGAGACCCTGACGGATGAGCATGAAGGTGTCATGGGAGAAGGGTAAGGGGTGCCTTAGGCTCTGCACTGGCCAGAACGACCGATACTCAACCGAGGTAGCATTTAAAATAATCAGGGTCTCAGAATGGGTGTGTTCCGTTGAGAGTCCGTCAAAGCTGTGAACAGCGGGGCTGTTGTGGCGTCCAGACTGAAGGAATCTCAGCCAGGCAGTAAAACTCTCGTACAACAGCTTCTATTCTACGAAGCTTTATCATACAGCAGCAAACAAACACTTCAGCCAGGAGAGAGCGAAGACAAGATGCTTCTCCTGTCGCAGCCATAACAGAAAGTAAAAACGTTCACATAACAAAGATGCGAAAACACCCAAGCGACAGGACGTCATTTCCCCTTGAGCTGTGAGCCCTGTAAGCTCTGGGTATCCTCAACAGGGTGGCATTTAGAGGAGAAAGGGACTGCAATTTGCAGTCGGGACGGTCAGAAAACTGCAAGTAAGGGCTCAAAGCAAGAGTACCTGTATTTTTTCGCTCTATAACACGCACCCGACCTTTTTCGCTCTATAACACGCACCCGACCATAACACGCACATAGTTTTTAGAGGAGGAAAACAAGAAAAAAAATATTCTAAACGAAACAGTGGATGTATGATTTTTGTGGTTCATGCTGTGGCCGCAGACATGTGATCTGAGGGTGAGTTTGGGGGTAGCTCAATGCAAAAATCCTGAGGATCCATGTGGATCCATGTTTGTAACCACATTTTTGCACCACTTTGGCCCCAGCAACAGTGGGTGAGTGATTTTTTTGGTGCAAGCTGTAAGCCATGGACATGCTATGTGATCTGATGGTGAATTTGGGGTGACCCCAGTGCCAAAAATCCTGAGGATCCATGTGGATCCGTGCTTTGTAACCAGGCTCTCTGTCCCTCTCTTCTCCCCACTAAGCGGCTCTTCTCCCACTTTGCTGTTCCAAAGCGAGCAAAGCGAGCCAAGGAGGAGGGAAGGAAGGGGAACCATGGATCCTCTGCTCACGACTGCAGCAGATCCCCCTGCTATCCGTAGGCATTCGCTCCATAACACGCACAGACATTTCCCCTTACTTTCTAGGAGGAAAAAAGTGAGTGTTATGGAGCAAAAAATATGATAATTCGTGCCGCATTGCCAGTTTTTCATCTGTGAAATGGGCACTTTGCGGAGCTCGTGACAGTTTCTCAAGCGTGCGCCTTGGGAACCCTGGGGTGTATTTGGCCCCTGTGAACTCTTGGCGATATCTCTTGTTGCAGCCAGAAGTCAAGTTTTCTGCCCAGCTACATCATTGACGTGCGGGAGCTAGACGAGAAGCTGCTCAACATCATCGACATGCAGTTCCTGTATGGCTACTATGAGCCCACCCTACTCATCCTCTTTGAGCCCAACCAGACCTGGCCTGGGTATGTCTTGCCTTCCTCCTCCCTCTCTGTTGTTAGCTTTGCCCCAGAACAAGTGCTGGCCAGCTAGCCCCCCCCCCCCCCCGTCACAAGAAAAAGGAACTGGCACTGCAGCTCAGTGGTGGAGCATCTTTCTTGCGTGCAGAAGGTCTCCAGCCTGAAATTCTGGAGAGCTGCTGCCAATCAGTGTAGGCATTACTGAGCTAGATGGACCAACAGTATAACTTGGCTACCAGTATGTGGCAGCTTCCTGTGCTCCTCTGTGTCTGCCTCGGAAAGCTAAACTCAGTCTGCAGATAGCCAAGGGAGAGCTGTGGGTCTCAGTACGGTTGAACCCCACTGTTGTGTTAGGAAATGAGCTCTGTGGCTGGAGGGAGTCTGTGCCCTTTGCCAGACGTGGTATGTCAATGCTGGGACAAAACCCGGGGCTTTTGCTTCCACTTCTGTCCCCTTCAATGTTGTTCCCTCCCAAGTGCCATCTGACGCTTCATATCTTTTTTTACATATACATTTTTATTGGAGTTTTTTAAACATATCATTTCCAACAATGATATAACATAACTTCTTATCTTATACAATGTTTTAGACTTCCGTCGACACTTCTGATCATTTTTCGTTCTTTATCACTTATTCTGCCTTTCTTAATTTCTCTATTACTCTTAATTGTCATTAACTAATAATTCTCCTCATAGTCTTTCTTGCAATATTTCAAATACACTGGTACCTCGGGTTACATACGCTTCAGGTTACAGACTCCACTAACCCAGAAATAGTGCTCCAGGTTAAGAACTTTGCTTCAGGATGAGAACAGAAATCGTGCTCCGGCGGCGCGGCAGCAGCAGCAGCGGGAGGCCCCATTAGCTAAAGTGGTGCTTCAGCTTAAGAACAGTTTCAGGTTAAGTACGGACCTCCGGTACTTAACCCGAGGTACCACTGTAGTCCTCCTTACAAAACTTCTTGCTGACGCTTCATTCTCTTGGAACCTGATGCTGCCAATGCCCGTTCATCTCCTTGTACCGCCGTCCCCAGTTTTGGCTCCCCTTGACTGCACCTGCCCCACTTGCCTAGGCTGCGTGGACAGCGATGTCAAGTAGCCAAGCTCTTTCCTTGTCACTCTTCAGGCGGGTGGCTGTGCGCCAGGACACCTGCAGCATTGTGGCCATCTCCTTGAACATCATGCAGAAGGTCCACCCCGTCATCTGGTCTCTCAGCAACCTGCCCTTTGACTGCACCCAGGCTCTGGCGGTACCCAAGCCCATTGGTGAGAGGAACGGTTTCTTCCCGGTTGTTGTGTGGAGAGGGAGAGGTGGCGCAGGCGCTTGTGCGTGGGGAGAACAAGGTGGCTAGAAGCTGTGAAGATCTTGGGGGAGGGAGGGAGGGTGTTCCATTTTGAGTGGAAATCCCAAATTGTGGCAAAGGTGGTTAGACAGTGCGGGGAGGCCCATAATGCACGTAAGCTCTCAAGTTCAGTTGCCAGTAAAGGTAAAGGGACCCCTGACCATTAGGTCCAGTCGTGGCCGACTCTGGGGTTGTGGCGCTCATCTCGCTTTATTGGCCGAGGGAGCCGGCGTACAGCTTCCGGGTCATGTGGCCAGCAGGACTAAGCCGCTTCTGGTGAGCCAGAGCAGCACACGGAAATGCCGTTTACGTCCCGTCGGAGCGGTACCTATTTATCTACTTGCACTTTATGTGCTTTCAAACTGCTAGGTGGGCAGGAGCTGGGACCGAGCAACGGGAGCTCACCCCGTCGCAGGGATTCAAACCACCGACCTTCCGATCGGCAAGCCCTAGGCTCTGTGGTTTAACCCACAGCGCCACCTGCATCCCAGTATCTCCCCTTAAAAAGAGATCTTTGGAAAAGGCACGCACCTGAGACCCTTGAACAGCCTCTGCCAGTCAGAGTAGGTGATAATGCGCTAGATGGGTCTAGCATATTTTTCAGATAGGGGGTGTGTTCTGGACAGCAGCCTCCCTTACTCAGAGGACAACGTAGACAAGCTCACGTTCCACCAGCTTGAACCCTGCGGCTCAAGAGTGACAACTCCGTCTTGGCCTAACTCTCCTCTCCCCTTCCTTCCTCCTCTAGGCGGAGTTGTGATCTTTGCGGTGAACTCATTGCTGTACCTGAACCAGAGCGTGCCGCCTTACGGCGTGTCCCTCAACAGCCTCACCAACGGCACCACCGTCTTCCCGCTAAGTAGGCCTCTCTGCTTTCCTTACCTTCTATCAAAAAGAAGGTCTAAAGCACTTCATATTTTAAAGATCCCTCGACATGTGCAATATGAAAACAACACACCTTAAAACAAAAATGCAACCTAAAATCAACAAAACAACACAAAAGCGTATAAACAAATACAAAAACAAGTACAGCAGAGATGCATGAAATTCATAGGCAAAGATCAGGGTCAGAGAAAGTCTGGGCAAAAAGATTTGCCTTTATAAGACATCTAAAGCAACTGATGGCTGCTGCTCTGCCTATGGCAAAGGGAAGGGATTTTCAGTGTCGGGCAACAGCGGAAAAGGCCTGTTTTGGGGTCACTGCCCTACAATATTCTGCAGGGTTGTGTGTTGCAAGTAGAATCTCCCCCAGATGATCTTACTGATCTTTACAGGTCTGCACAGGAGCAGGTGATCTTTCACAAAGGTCATCCGGTCCCAAGTTGTTCAGGGCTTTATATGTTAACAGCAAGACCTTGAACTTGGCCTGGGAGCTGATCAGCAGCCAGTGCGCTCACTCAACACAGGTGTAAATATGTGTGCCTCCACCTGCCCCACTCTGCAACCTGCCCCCCCCCCACTTTTTGAAATATGGCAACCCAAGGTTACCAACACATGAATCACAGTGGCTAAGCTATTCCTCTCCAGGAAAGTTTGCAGTTGGTGTACCTACCTGAATTTGATAATAGGTGCTCCCTGCCAGAGAGGTTATTGGATGTTGGCAAGCTGCTGATGGCCCTGGAGGTATGACCACTGTGCTCCTGATCCTTATGGGGTCAAACTGAGCAGCTAGCTCTATATAGGACCCTTTCCCTGCCCCACCTGATTTACTTTCCTGTACCCATGAGTGGGCAGAAAAGGAGAGCAGCGAACTCCTAACCTCGTGCCCTTAACCAGATGCTGTTCAACAGAGAATACTACCTGTTATGTCACTTCTGGTGCAGGTTTTAAAACATTGCTTTTATTGGAGAGTCAGGGGTTGGGATAGGAACCACATGGCATACTTTGCAAACTTTCCAGTGCAACCCTTTATCATGAGGACTAGAGATGTGTACAGTGGTACCTCGGGATGCGAACAGGATCCGTTCCAGAGCCCCGTTTGCATCCTCAATAGAACATAAGACGCGACGGCGCATCTGTGTGTGCATGGGTAGCGTTTTGCCGCTTCCGTGCTTGCGCAGGACGTCATTTTGAGCGTCTGCGCATGTGCGAGTGGCAAAACCCGGAAGTAGCGCACTCCATTACTTCCGGGTTGCCGCGGAGCGCAACCCGAAAGCGCTCAACCTGAAGCACATTCAACCCGAGGTATGACTGTACTAGTGTGTGTACATGGAGAGCTGACACTTTCAGCTTCTGAAATTCTGCCCCAGTTAGCAGGCTGTGAACTCGCGTTGCAAACCTGGTAAGTGGACGGGACGCTTATAACCCCAAGCAGTACTGCATGAGGGAAAGTGCTCAAACCAGGCTACCTTTCCAAAGGGGACAGCAGCAGCGTCCTGAGTCCTGCCCCTGTGTCCTGCTACCTTGGGCTCTGCTGATGACTTCCTCCTCTTTACAGGGATCCAAGAGGGAGTGAAAATCACACTGGACTGTGCCCAAGCAGCTTTCATCTCCTATGACAAGATGGTCATCTCGCTGAAAGGAGGGGAGATGTAAGGCTTCGGATTGCTCTCAGGTCACCAGGCACAATTACCTTTGCCAGCTTCCAGCAGGGAGCTGTTCTGTTCAGACCTGGGATGTTTCAGCTCTGCAGCTCTGCTCACTTGGCCAGATGCAGGCAAGCTGCTTGCTGCTCCCAGTTCTCTTGGACCGTAAACATCCAGCCCATTGGAAAGAGATTCTGCTTTTGATGTTGTCATGTGCTGGGAGGCAGCCTGAGCCTGTAGCCAAGTCAGGCTGACCTCTTTCTCCCTGGGTTCTGTTTCTGTCCCCCTAAGTGCAGTGAAGTCGGTAAATATTTCATGGCTTAGCAAATAAATTTAAAGCCTAAAGACGAGCCTGACACAGGTGATGGAGAGGCAAGAGCACATATTTCTTCAAAGCACCAGAGAGAGAGAAAGAAGTGGAAGAGAAAATGTTTGCATCTGCTAGCTGATGTCCTATAAAAGAGATTATTGGACACCAGGCTCCAGTCTTGGGCAGGGCTGAGTTTGCTTTAGTTGAATGCATGTTCTTTAAACTTAACTGTTTGCAGTGTCCCTGGTGGGTGGAAGTCGAGTGGAACTTGGTTGCCTGAACAGCTGCAACACTAGGCTTTTTGCTGTTTTTCTTGGGCAACTCATTGCAAACCTCTGGAGCCGGACCCCTTCAGACAACCTAGTTTTGCTTAGTTGCCAGTGTGTGGCGGTTGCAAATTTCAGTTAACGTAGAGGAGAAAAGTAATCCAGACCCACCTAGGGAGAGTATGGTAGGGCAGCTAAAACAAATAGAAAATCGGCAGTGGGAGAAGGAGTCCAGTGTGTGGTTGGTCTTTCGGCCTTTACCTTGAATTGTGTTGTCTCCCTCTCATAGAATTTTATAGTTGGAAGGGACCTAAGGAATCATCTAGTCCACCCCCCCTATGCTTTGTGTTCAGTGAGAGAGGGGTCAATGTCCTCAGTGGGTTCCTGCCTGTGACCCTGTTTCCTGGGGTTGAGCCTCCCCAGGCCACCGCATGTTTGACAGGGCTCCTTGCAAGCTTTCTTGCTCAGACATTGCTTGCCCTCTGCCAATGGGATCCCTTCACCTGCCTCCCTCCCTCCTTTTCCCTAGCTACGTCCTGACCCTCATCACCGACGGCATGCGGAGCGTCAGATCCTTCCACTTCGACAAGGCGGCAGCCAGCGTCCTCACCACTTGCGTAAGCTCCATTAGGCCGAGCACTGGCAGAGTCAGGGTGGCAGGGTTGGGGGGGGGGAAGTTGAGGCAAAAGCCAGTTGCGTATATGAGATACATATGATTGCTGAGCCCAGTTGGTGGTGCACCTGCCCTGTTTTGCCTCTGGGCGCCCCCTACTCCCTTGCGATGCCTCTTTGCCCGCTTCTCCCACGAGGCCTTGTCTGACACTCCATCTCCCCACCCTGTCCCTTCTGCCTTTCGGATCTCAGATGATCACCATGGACCCCGGCTACCTCTTCTTGGGCTCGCGTCTCGGCAACTCCCTCCTCCTCAAATACACAGAGAAGCTGCAGGAGACCCCCATGAGCGTTGCCAAGGACCCCGCAGAGAAGCCGGTGAGTTCACCTGGGACCTGGCCTGCCCCATTTACTTAAAGAGCAGTGTTGCATTAGACGCCCCCCCACCTCCCATAATAATAATAATAATTTATTATTTATACCCCGCCTATCTGGGATGCGGGTGGCGCTGTGGGTTAAACCACAGAACCTAGAGCTTGCCGATCAGAAGGTTGGTGGTTCAAATCCCCGTGACGGGGTGAGCTCCCGTTGCTCAGTCCCTGCTCCTGCCAACCTAGCAGTTCGAAAGCACGTCAAAGTGCAAGTAGATAAATAGGTACCATTCTGGCGGGAAGGTAAATGGCATTTCCGTGCGCTGCTTTGGTTCGCCAGAAGTGGCTTAAGTCATGTTAGCCACATGACCCAGAAGCTATATGCCGGCTCCCTCAGCCAATAAAGCGAGATGAGCGCCGCAACCCCAGAGTCAGCCACGACTGGACCTAATGGTCAGGGGTCCCTTTACCTTTTACCTTTACACCTGGCTGAGTTTCCCCAGCCACTCTGGGCAGCTCCCAATCAAGTGTTAAAAACAATACAGTATTAAATATTAAAAACTTCCCTAAACAGGGCTGCCTTCAGATGACTCTTAAAGATAAGATAGCTGCTTATTTCCTTCACATCTGAAGGGAGGGCGTTACACAGGGCGGGTGCCACTACCGAGAAGGCCCTCTGTCTGGTTTCCCTGTAACCTCACTTCTCGCAGGGAGGGAACCGCCAGAAGGCCCTCGGATCTGGACCTCAGTGTCCGGGTAGAACGATGGGGGTGGAGACGCTCCTTCAGATATACTGGACTGAGGCCATTGCAGGACAAACCCCAGACAGCCTTCCTGTCCAGTGCTGCTTGAATCTGGCCCAGCCACAGAGAGTGTTTTGGGGGGGAGGCATAGGGAAGGGGAGCCCAGTACCTGAGTGGGTGTTGGTTGGAGGGAGAGCAAAGCAGCTGATACACTGACTGCCGTGAATGAATGGAGGTTTCAGCTGGAAACTCTTTGCCTGTTGGCTTCCAAGGGAAGTCGGACTTGGTGAGTCCCCTGCCTTTTGTCAGCATGCAACTTCCTTCCACCTGCAGGAGGAGCCTCCCATCAAGAAGAAACGTGTGGAGCAGACTGCAAACTGGACGGGTAGGTGGCTCTGCCCCAGAGCCAACAAGAGGGGATGCTGGGGGATCCGGTACAAATTACCGGCTCCTGGTGTTCTGGGGAGTGGGTCATAAAAGGGGGGGAGGAAGTGCTGGGGAGTCAGGGGCATTTGGCAGGCCCCTAGCTGACTCCAGCTGGCAGCCAGGCGGTCTCCGGTACAGCATCAATCAGCGACACGAGCCTCAGATACGTTTAGAGACTTGGCATGCTCTTATCAGCAGAGTGAATAAATCTTCACAACGGAAGTGGCGGACAGAGACATGTGTAAGCATTATTCAGCATAGTTCAGGAACAAAGGAAAAACATGTCTGCTTCCCGTTTGTCTCCAGCAAACAGCAGGATAGCAAAAGCAATATACAAACGGAAGTTCCCAGCAAGCCTGTGCTGGAAGTAAACAGGCATGTGACACACAACTGTCATGCCTGCTCCTTTTAAGGTGGAACGGAACTATATCCTAAATGGAAGTACCTAGGAAGAGCTGTTGAGTGGAGTGTGCTATGAAGGAGACACAAAGTTAATCCCAAGGCTTCTCCTACCCACATCCTAATGTGTCCTCTGCAGGGGGAAAGTCAGCTCCTCAGGACGAGGTGGACGAGATCGAGGTGTACGGCAGCGAAGCCCAGTCTGGGACCCAACTTGCCACCTATTCTTTCGAGGTACCATTTAAATGTAGCTTCTGAGGACAAGGTACAAACCTGCTTATGGCAGGCCTGCTCTCTCTCTTCCTGGGGCGATGGAAGAAGGGCAGGAGAGTTGGGAAACTCAGTGCTAAAGACTCAGCTCCTTTTCTTCGCTGCGGGATCACATTCACCCGGTGCTATACCAGCTGCACTGGCTCCCGGTGGAGTACAGGGTCAGGTTTAAGGTGCTCGTTTTATCCTTTAAAGCCCTATACGGCCTAGGACCCTCGTACCTACGGGACCGCCTCTCCTGGTATGTCCCACGGAGGACCTTACGGTCTTCAAACAAAAACATCTTGGAGGTCCCGGGCCACAGGGAGGTTAGGCTGGCCTCAACCAGAGCCAGGCCTTTTTGGCCGTGGCCCCGATCTGGTGGAAACTCTCTGTCACAAGAAACCAGGGCCCTGCGGGACTTGACATCTTTCCCCAGGGCCTGCAAGACAGAGCTGTTCCACCGGGCCTTTGGCCAAGGCACAGTCCTTTGGTAATCCTCACAGAACTCTAGCCCAATGGTTGCCATTGATTTGATTCTCAATTGATTTTAGAATGAATTGATTTTAGAATGCTGTGTTACTTTTATTGTTGTTAGCTGCTCTGAGCCCGGCTTCGGCTGGGGAGGGAGGGTTATAAATAAAAATTATTATTATTATTATTATTATTATTATTATTATTATTATTCCCTTCCCCATGCTAGACCATTCCTCTAATCTGGCAATGGATCAAAGCACACCTAGAATCAGAAATGCTTTGTAATCTCCCATCCTTGCTCCTCTGCCCAGAGCTATTCCTTGAGCAGTAGGTAATCCATGTGCCTTTTCTGTTTCTCTCTCCTCCCCCAACACTGACAGGTGTGCGACAGCATCCTGAACATCGGTCCCTGTGCCAACGCCGCCATGGGGGAGCCTGCTTTCCTTTCTGAAGAGGTGTGCACTCGGCTGCTTCCTTCTCTGAGCTCTGGGTGTAGGGACAGGGTCAGGGTCCGGTGCCTGAAGAAAGAACCCTAAGAGGGGTGGGGAAACTTGCTAGGTTTGGCCCTTCTCCCCTTCCAAGGGGTTCTAATGGCACGGAGGAGCTTGCAAAGGGTTCCTGGAGCAAAGACACTTGCTGTGAGTGAGGCTAGCTCACCACTCTCAATCACCTAACACTGTCTGTCTGTCTGTCCGTTTTCAGTTCCAGAACAGCCTTGAGCCCGACCTTGAAATCGTCGTGTGCTCAGGATACGGCAAGAACGGCGCCCTCTCGGTTCTTCAGGTGAGCGAGCAGGTGAACTGCTGGGGTGGGAAGCGCAGGGATTGCACTGTGCGAAGGCCTGCGTCGGTGAGGAGAGTCTGGCGCAGGTCAGGTATCAGTGCTACAGCAGCAGCGGCATGCCCTAGGCTTACCAGGGCTGCCCCAGAGATCAATGGAGCAGCCTATAAACACCTAGGAACAAGTAGGTGGGTGGGGGTAACACACAGGAGGAGGAAACCAAGCCTGATGAGGAATGGTTGAAGGAGCTGGGTATGTTTAGCCTGGGAAAGAGGAGACTGATAGGAGATATGAGAGCCATTTTCAGATATCTTAAGGGCTGTCACATGGAAGATGGAGAAGGCTTGTTTTTTCCTGCTCTGGAGGGCAATGGCTTCAAGGTGCGAGAAAGGAGATTCCTGACGAAACATCACGAACAACTTTCTGGCAGTTCAGCTTCTGAGCCCCTTTGTGGTCTTCTCCAGACTTTGGCCTGCTCCTGTGCCCAGCTGTGTTCCAGTTTTGAACAACCATTCTAATGTTCCAGCTTTTAACAACCATTTCGGCATTTACCCCTCTGTCTTGCAGTTGTTCAGAGGGTTCTTCAAGTCTTCCGGTGTCTGACTTCTCAACTTCCTTAGTATCGTATTTTCTAGCTGGGCTCATATACAATATTTCCACTTCCAATCTTTTAGCCAATCAAGACCTGCTCCTTCACACCAGACCTATTTTTCTTCATGGCTCTCCCTTCCACGCAGTGAGACAAACAGGCCCTTTGAGGTGTATACTTGGTTTACCTGCCCAGAAATTGTACAACTGCAGGGGAGCCCGCCTTGAGTGCTGGAGCCCTAATTTCAGGGGGGCGCGACTGGTGTGGTCGCATTGGGTGCCGTGCTGCAAGGGGCGCCACAACAATGCTGTAGAACGTAGCACAAGAGACGGGGAAACGTTGAAATTTAACATTGCACTGGGCACCACTGAAACTTGGGAGCCCAAAGTCTGCCACTGCCTAATTTCTTTATACACACACACACATTTTATTAATTTTTTAACTTATTAATTCCAAGTCATACAATATTTTTGGACTTCTGTCAACGCCTCTGATGATTTTCCATTATTTGCCACTTATTATGCATTTCTTAATTTCATATTACCTTTAATATCCTTAACTAATGATTCTCCTCATTGTCTTTTTTGCAATATTTCTAATAATTCACCTTACAAAACTTCTTTCAAACCTACTAGCATGATCTATTCATCACAATTACTTTTCAAAAAGTCCGTAAATTTACTCCAGTCTTCTGAGAATCTCTGGTCCCGCAGGTTTCGAATCCTTCCTGTTAGTTTATCTAATTCTGCATAGTCCATCAGTTTCATCCTCCATTCTTCTTTCGTCAGTAGTTCTTCTTGCTTCCATTTTTGTGCCAATAAAATTCTTGCTGCCGTCATTGCATATGAAAACAACTTACAATCCTTTCTGTTTATATCATCTCCTATAATGCCGAGTAAAAATGCTTCTGGTTTCTTAATAAATGTATATTTCATCATCTTTTCCCATCTCATTATATATCATTTCCCAGAGGCTTTTCACTTTTTTACATTCCTACCACATGTGATAAAATGTTCCTTCTTTTTCTTTACATTTCCAACATTTATTACATACCGCCTATACATCATTTTCAGCACGTTTTCTTTTAAGGCATCGTACGCAATAAATTTTAATCCTTCTTTCCACAGTTTCCCCCAGTCTTTTAACTGTATATTATACTCAAAGTCTTTGGCCCAATGTATCATAACTGACTTTACCTCCTCATCTTTCAAATGCCATTCGAGCAGCAATTTATACATTTTAGACAAAGTTTTCATTTATTACTCAATATATCTATTTCAAATTTTGATTTGTTTTCGTCAAATCCTTTTTCCTTAAAATCCTGTTTAAACATTTCATTGACTTGGCGGTAGTGCAGCCAATCCTTCACATATTCTTTAACTTCTTCATAGGGTTTCATTTTCCATTTACTCCCTTCTTTTTGTATTACCGTATTTTTTGCTCTATAAGACTCACTTTTTCCTTCCTAAACAGTAAGGGGAAATGTGTGCGCGTCTTAAGGAGCAAATGCAAGCTGCGCAGCTATCCCAGAAGCCAGAACAGCAAGAGGGTTCGCTGCACAACGATCCCTCTTGTTGTTCTGGCTTCTGAGATTCAGAATATTTTTTCTCTTGTTTTCCTCCTCCAAAAACTAGGTGCGTCTTGTGGTCTGGTGCGTCTTATAGAGCACAAAATATGGTGATTTTCCATATGTAACCCAACTCTTGCTCATATTTATCTTTTTCACACTCATTGCTTCTAATGGAGATAACCACTGCGGTGTTTTATGTTCTTTTTTTAAAAAAAAGATATTTATTAAGATTTTACAAAAAGAAAAAAGAAAAATACAAAATAAAAATAGTTAAAAAACAATTCCATCTTTCCATCACTTATTTTTCATATGCTTGTTTCCCGGACCTCCTCACACCTCCCTTTTTTGTATTCCAATTCAATTTATTAGTTCAGCAAATCCTTTCCCTCTTTGTTTATCCTAGTCTTTAATCTTAAAATATTATAACATTAAATTTTTACCTGTTAATAATCCATTTTTTCATATTCCTTATAGCGTTATAGCTAAAAACCACTTAACTTTTTATCCAACATCATTCTAACATTCATTAATTTTACAACATTTCTGTAGATAGTCTTTAAATTTCTTCCAATCTTCTTCCACCGACTCTTCTCCCTGGTCTCGGATTCTGCCGGTCATTTCTGCCAGTTCCATATAGTCCATCACCTTCATCTGCCATTCTTCCAGGGTGGGTAGATCTTGTGTCTTCCAATACTTTGCAATAAGTATTCTTGCTGTTGTCGTGGCATACATAAAGAAAGTTCTATCCTTCTTTGGCACCGATTGGCCTACGATGCCCAGGAGAAAGGCCTCTGGTTTCTTCAAGAAGGTATATTTAAATACCTTTTTCATTTCATTATATATCATCTCCCAGAAAGCCTTAATCCTTGGGCCGGTGTTTTATGTTCTAATAGGTTTTTATACCTATCCCATATTTCAAATAGAGATCTTCAGAATATATGGTTTCCAAGCCACTGCCTAATTTCTTCCTTTCATCTCAACAGAAAAGCATCCGCCCTCAAGTGGTGACGACCTTTGAACTCCCAGGCTGCTATGACATGTGGACGGTGATCTCGCCCCAGAAGACGGAAGAGGCAGCGGTGCGTATGGCCTCTACTTCCCAGGGGCTTTGAGCCAGCTTCTTTTGAGGAGGAGGGTTTCCTTCCAGCCTCTCTCCCACAAAGGCAGAGGCTCTGTGCACTTGTGACAGCATCCCTGGCCACCCTCTTCTCCCGATAGGAGGAAGACGCCCAGGGAGAAAGCGCAGAGAAGGAGCCGGCCCCACCAGAGCCTGCTGATGACGGGAAGCGGCACGGCTTCCTCATTCTGAGCCGGGAAGACTCCACCATGGTGAGTGCTGGCATTTTTCGTTGGGCATGGCCCCGGGTGCACTTTGGAGCTTGGCTGAGTGTGCTTCAGTGACTAAGGGGAAGGCAATTGGCAGCTCAAAGGGGCTGTTTTGAGGGAGATCAGCCGAGTGGGCAGTGTCAAAGAGGTTGTGGGGTGTGCAGATCTGCCAAGGGCTGGCAGCATGAGAAGAAAGCTGGAACTTGCTCTGCCCCTTCACTCTGGCCCCAATAATAATAATAATAATAATAATAATTTATTATTTATACCCCGCCCATCTGGCTGGGCGTCCCCAGCCACTCTGGGCGGCTTCCAAAAAAATATTAAAATACTGTAATACATCCAACATTAAAAGCTTCCCTAAACAGGGCTGCCTTCAGATGTCATCTAAAAGTCTGATAGTTGTTGTTCACTTTGACATCTGGTGGGAGGGCGTTCCACAGGGAGGGCGCCACTACCGAGAAGGCCCTCTGCCTGGTTCCCTGTAACTTGGCTTCTCGCAGTGAGGGAACCGCCAGAAGGTCCTCGGTGCTGGACCTCAGTGTCCGGGCAGAACAATGGGGGTGGAGACGCTCCTTCAGATATACTGGACCGAGGCCGTTTAGGGCTTTCAAGGTCAGCACCAACACTTTGAATTGTGCTCGGAATCCCAAAGGATCCACCTCCTCAGAGTATTGCGGAAGAACAATGTCAATCAACATTTGATGATCTCCTTCCACTGGTCAACAATAGAAAGTGTCCTTTCATACTGCATCACGGTGTGGGACACTGGTTTGACATCAACTGATAGGAAGTGCCTACAGAGGGTGGTGAATACAGCACAAGATATTATGGGCTGTCCCGTGAATCCGCTGGATGAAATAGCGGAAGAAGGTTGCCTCAGGAGAGTGAGGAAAATTCTCAGGGATGATTCACACCCTGGCCGGCACTTTCTTGATCTCCTGCCCTCGGGCAGAAGATATAGAAGCATGATTAGTCGCACCAACAGGGTAAAGAACAGCTTCTATCCGTGGGCTGTTAGGCTGCTGAATGAAAAGATAACAACAGGGCAACTGGCTTTTGGGTTTGGTGGGTGTGCGTCAGTAAACGAGGGGAATTAAGACTAAGAGAGCTGAGTGGGGGGTGCTCAAGTAATCTCACTGTAGGCAAGTTGTACAAGTGACAATAAAGTATTTCATATTAATTATGGGGTGGCATGACTCCACACACACCTTGCTTTTTCCGGGGGCAACCCCTGTATGATCTCCCTCTTGGGAATATTCCCTGCAAGGGCACATGGGTGTGACTGTTTTTCTTTGCCTCCCCCCCTCCCAGATCCTGCAGACAGGCCAGGAAATCATGGAGCTGGACACCAGCGGCTTTGCCACCCAGGGGCCCACTGTCTATGCCGGCAACATTGGCGAGAACCGCTACATCGTCCAGGTGTCTCCCCTGGGAATCCGCCTGCTGGAAGGAGGTGAGTTCAGCTAGAGGTCTCAAGCTTGGTTTTAAAGGCAGCCGTTCCTGGAAAAAGCCCTTGGCCTAGAAACTGAATCACTAGGCAGGGGAAATGGTGGCGGTTGTTGAGGGAGACTTGAGCAGACATACTTTTGAAAGCACCACGGATTCTGGGACGGTTGGTGTCCGGGGTGGGGGCCATGGGAGGGCGGCCTGAGCTACCATCAGGGCTTGGTCTGCCTTTCAGCTGCCTGTGTCTCTGCCTCACAGTGAACCAGCTGCACTTCATCCCAGTGGATCTTGGCTCGCCTATCATACACTGTGCCGTGGCCGACCCCTATGTGGTGATCATGAGCTCCGAGGGGCAGGTCACTATGTTTGTGCTGAAGAGTGACACCTACGGGGGCCGGACACACCGGCTCACCTTGCAGAAGCCGCAGCTGCATCACGTGAGTACGAGCTGTAAGCATAGAATCATACAATAGAATTGGAAGGGAGCTTGAGGGTTATCTAGTCCAACCCCCTGCGATGCAGGAATCTTGCCCACAGCCGTCCCTAGATGGGCTTGAACCACCAACCTTCTGGTTCACAGCCAGCCACACTGACCCATTGCACCAGGAGGGGGCCACAGTCCCTTAGAACAGCACCGTGTTTATCCCAGACTCAACCCTGTGCTCTGCAAACATTAGCTGCTTGTTATACAGAGGGCTTCGCAGTCACATCTCATCACGGAAACTCAAAATCCTGTGTCTGGTTCTGCAGCTCAACCACAGAGCATTTATTTTACTCTTAGAAGGCCCATGGTTCAGTTTGTGGCATCTCCAATCTGCTTTGTTTTACAACGAAAGGATCCCCCAGGGCCAGGGCCTTCTCAGTGGTGGCTCCGACCTGGTGGTATGCTCTGTCTCATGAGACCAGGGCCCTGCAGGATTTAACCTCCTTCCGCAGGGCTGTAAGACAGAGCTATTCCGCCTGGCTTTCAATTTGAACTTAGCCTGATATTTTATTCCCCTTCCTTCCCTCCCCCTCTGCTTTTTATGAAGATTATCCGCTCTGGGATCCCACAGCTAATTCTCCCCTGGTCTCCTCGCTGGCCCAAGTAGGACTAATTTAGCCAGCTAGCCTTGGTGATCATCTAATGCTTATTGGATGGATTTCCACCCAAAATTGATTTTTGATTTTTGAATTCTGAATTTATTGTTATTCATGTTTTATACTGTATTTTATGCTGTTTTTTGTTGTATCAATTAAGTGTTTTAAATTTGTTGTTAGCCGCCCTGAGCCCAGTTTTTTGAACTGGGAAGGGCGGGGTATAAATAAAAATTTATTATTATTATAACCCATATGGTTAACTTGCAGAGATACATTTGAAAACACTGAGCAGTGCCTGGCATGGTGAGGCTCTGTGCAGGGGCTTTTATCACCCCTTGTTCTTGGCTAGCAGTAGCAGAAGACATTGTGCAACAAACATTCATGTTTGCTCAGTTTGCGTAGCTTATTATTGAGGTCTCCAAATGTGGATCTTCTAACAATGAAGGTGCACAGCCTGCTTTCAGCCGAGGTTCTTGGCATAACCAGATCCTGAGTCTGCTTCCATGCTGCTCAGTTAAGAGCAGGGCACCCTGTGTCTTGCTCTGAGGCAACCTGTTGTCACCCCTCCAGCAATCGAAGGTGATTGCGTTGTGTGTATACCGGGACGTCAGCGGCATGTTCACCACTGAGAGCCATTCATCCAGCTCCCGGGACGAGCTTTCCTTGAGGACTCAGTCAGAATCTGAGGCTCCCATCCAGGACATCAGGTGGGTCTTGAGGCATGGCGAAGAACTCTGGGAAGGGGTGGGGATTTAGCCATTTTGTGTGGGAGTTTGGGTTGTAAAATATGGGTTGTGAGATGGTTGTTTTGGGTTTTTAAGGCTTTTCTGCGTAGGAGGTACATTGGACGGGTAAAAGTACAAAGGGGTAGTTTGCTTAACTAGTTTTGCATGGAAGGGTCAAAAGTTCGTCTTAGGAACCCAGCAATTAGGAAATAGAAACTTAATCAGTACTCCCCTGTTCCGATTTCTTAAAAGGTTGAAAGGGGGAGTGAAAATGTTGTATATAAGTCATGCTAGAAGAAAAGTTAGGCTGCAGTCCTAATCCTACTCAGTATTGGAAGTAGGCTGGGCCACTTCATCCAGGTTAAAGGACTGTCTGGCAGAGACAGCGAGAGGAAAATAAAGATATCCACTTGGTCGCGGTGGTTCACACAACACAGTGGTTCTCAAACTTGTAGGACCAATGGTCAAGTATGATGGGAGTTGTAGTCCAGCAGCTGGAGACCCAAGTTTGAGAAATACCGACTTAACAGGAAGTAGGGATTGGATTGGCTGGTTTGTTTGCCTTTCTCACCTCTCATGGTGCAAGCTACAGCCTGCACTATCACACCTGTTCTTTCAGGTAATTGGGGCAGGTGTGCTCAGTGAGGAGATTCACTGAGTGGGAAGATTCAAAGCACCATATTTTTCGCTCCATAAGACGCACCTACTTTTTAGAGGAGGGAAACAAGAAAAAAAATATTCTGAACGAAACAGTGGATGTATGATTTTTGTGGTTCATGCTGTGGCCACAGGCATGATATGTGATTTGACGGTGAGTTTGGGGTAGCCCAATGCAAAAATCCTGAGAATCCAGGTGGATCCGTGCTTTGTAACCACATTTTTGTGCCATTGCGGCCCCACGAAACAGTGGATGTGTGATTTTTTGGGTGCAGGCTATAGCCATGGACATGCTATGTGATCTGATGGAGAATTTGGGGTGACCCAATGCAAAAATCCTGAGGATTCATGTGCTTTTACCTCCCCCCTCCCAGGCAGCCTCCTTTATCACTAGTGTCTCTTATCTCCCTCCTGATCGCTTGCTGATCAGCTGCTCAGTCGCTTCGTTTCAACACCCCCTTCCCTCTTTCTTAAAAAAAAAAAAAAGCACGATCTGCTTTTCACCCCTGGGCAACTTGGCTCCAGGGACCACTCATTCATTCCATAAGACGCACAGACATTTCCCTTTACTTTTTAGGAGGAAAAAAAAGTGTGTCTTATGGAGTGAAAAATACGGTACCTTGTGTAGATCCTGAGTAAAGAATCAGACACCTACTTGTGAGGACAGTAGCAGGAGAAATTCTCAGCCGGCCCTCAGTTTCTTTGGCCCTCAGTGTTGTAGTGATGCCCCATCTGGGACTTCATTTAAGCTTTGGGCTCATGTGCTGCCTACAAAAGTTTTGAGACCTGCACTGGAATCTTGCTGTGAGTGGGCCCGTTCTTGGATCAAGCTTTGCAACAGCTGCCCAGCTGTCTTGAACGTAACTGCCTTCCTCTTCCTCTCTTCTCCCATGTACAGCAACACAATAGACGATGAGGAAGAAATGCTCTACGGTGAATCCGGCACCTTGTTTAGCCCCACCAAGGAGGAGCCGCGCCGCTGCAGCCTGCCCTTGGCTGACAAGGATCCTCACCAGTACAAGTCAGAGCCCACTCACTGGTGTGTGCTGGTCCGGGAGAACGGTGCTATGGAGGTGAGGCCCACGCAGTGACCAGGGCAGCGGGAGTGAGCAGGTCTCAGCCGGGTTCCTGTTGGCCCCTGCTACTTTCTCCCTCTTTCTCTCTCTTGTAGATCTACCAGCTGCCTGAATGGCGCCTGGTCTTCCTGGTGAAGAATTTCCCCATGGGGCAGAGGGTGCTGGTGGACAGTTCCTTCGGGCAGCCTGCCAGCCAGGGCGAGGCCAAGAAGGAGGAGGTGGTCCGTCAGACCGAGATGCCGCTGGTCAAGGAGGTGCTGCTGGTGGCCCTGGGAAATCGGCAGAGCCGGCCGTACCTGCTGGTGAGCTCCGAGGGTGGGGGTGGGGGTCCTCTGTGCGTAGAGTTATCTGGGTCTCCTGTCTGCTTGGCTCTGAAGCACGTAGACATTTTGATACATGTGCAAAGCAGCAAAGCAGGAAACCCAGTAAATCAAGACACCAGCCCTTCTACAAGTTTGGCCCCCTGGCTTCAAGTGATGGTGATACTGGGGCAAATGGTTTCTGCGCAATAAGTGCCCTATTTTTCGCTCTATTAGACGCACCTGAGCATAAGACGCAACTAGTTTTTAGGGGAGGAAAATAAGAAAGCAACACAAAGCCTCCTGAGTGAAGAGGGAGCGCTCCTCCCTCTTCGCTCAGGAAGATTTGCGGGGCTATCCCTGAAGCCAGGAGAGCAAGCAGGATCGGTGCGCACCGATCCCTCTTGCCCTCCTGGATTCAGCGAAAGCAAGCCTCCTGGCTTTCCCCCGACCTCCCGCAAGAGCCATGCGCTTTTAAAGGGTGCTCTGCTCTTGGGGGCTTTTGCGGGAGGTGGGGAAAGGGACAGAGCCACGCCCCCACCTCCCGCAAAAACCAGGGATAGCTGCGTGAAGCCTCTCGCTGTTCTGGCTTCTGGGATAGCCGTGCAGCCTGCATTCGCTCCATAAGACGCACACACATTTCCCCTTACTTTTTAGGAGGGGAAAAGTGCGTATTATAGAGCGAAAAATACGGTAGGTGCAGTTGCTTTTTATCTGCTGCAGGAAGAGGGAGGGAGAGAGCCAATTTCTTGGGAATGCCTGGGCTCTTCCCTGATCATGTTACAAGGTGTGTTTCTGATCCCCACCCCTTGAGTGCTCAACACACATGCGGCTATCTCCCACTTGGCATGTTGAGGGATAACGGGATCGATGCCTGCATTCTCCGCCAGCAATCATACTCAGGGAAACTATAAGCCAATGGCCCTCTGGATGTGGCTGGACTACAACTCACATCATCTTTGACCATGCTGGCAGCTGAGGTTTGTGGGAGCTGGAGTCCAGCAACACCTGGAGAGTTCCTGAGACCCTTTGCCCTAAGCTGTCATTCACTCACTGCGTCTGCTCCCTCCCTGCTCTTAATGATCTTGTGGGAGGAACTGAGGGAGACACCCACTGATGCACCACCCTCCCCACCTCACCTGGGGCTCGGGGCTTTCATACTGAGGAGGACCAATCAGCATCCCTGCAGGGCTGAACGTCTAATTCATAGTGCTTACCTTGCCCTGTCCTCAAAGCTGCTTGGTCAGTTGAGACTCACATGACTGGTGCCTGAGCCTACAGTGGGGATAATTGAAAGTGATGGTTTAAACCTTTAAAGCCCGAACTGGTGTCTGGGATGCCATTGCCTATAGGACTGCCTTTGTCAGTGTGAGGTTATCCAGCGTTCAGCATCGTCATCTCAGGCTTAGCTCTCTGGTCTCCTTGTAGTGAGTAGCAGGAGTGGGGCCTTCTCTGCAACAGCACCTTGATTGTGGCATTCCCTCCCTGGGGGGGAAATAGCAAGAGTGTGTGCTGTCTGGCTTTTACAAATTCTTTTCCCTAAGGGGAGCGTTAATACCATGGGAGAGCTGCTGTGATCAAGGTCTGTGATGAGGGATCCAGGAGCTTAGAGGACCATGAGGGCTACAAGGCGGGGTCATGGCAAGGCCTTGGCGCTATGGTTCTTTTTGCCCCAGCAATGAGCTGTGTCCCCATGGCCTGAGAGTGCTCAATCTGTTGATGCAGTGAGCCAAGGGACAGGGTGAAGCTCACTTTATTTCGCCACCCTGTTGACAGGTCCATGTGGATCAAGAGCTGCTCATCTACGAAGCTTTTAACCACGGCTCTCAGCTGGGCCAGACCAACCTCAAAGTGCGGTTCAAGAAGGTAAGAGCCACTCTTCTCCCCAGGCCACTGGAACGCTGCAGTTTCCCTTCAGGCTTCCCTCTGCACTCGAAGGGAAGGCTTCCCCACTGACCTCCTCCTGCCCTTTGACGCCCTTTCCCTTCCAATCAGGTTCCCCATAACATTAACTTCCGGGAGAAGAAGCCCAGGCCGTCGAAGAAGAAGCCGGACGGCGTGGGTGGAGAGGAATCGGGGGCTGCCAGGGGGCGGGTTGCCCGATTCCGCTACTTTGAGGATATCTATGGATACTCGGGGGTGAGTCTCGCGGAGAAGTCATCCTTGGGAGATTCTCAGGAGAAGCGTTTCTCTTTGGGGAGTTGGGCAAGGGCGTTCCCTTCCTGGGGCTTTGCGGAACCTCTGCCTGCCAGAGCAGGCACTATTGGCCTGGTGCAGGAGAAGGCTGTGCTCACGTGCAGCCCCGGGTCCTGATTGTGTTTGCATTTCTTCCCAGGTGTTCATTTGTGGCCCCTCCCCACACTGGCTGCTGGTAACGTCTCGGGGAGCCCTACGCCTGCACCCCATGACCATAGACGGCCCCATTGAGTCCTTTGCCCCCTTCCACAACGTCAACTGCCCCAAGGGCTTCCTCTACTTCAACCGGCAGGTAGGCCTGGCTTGGCGACAGAAGCTTGGGTGACCTGGGTGGGATGCCTGCCTTATTTCTTTCATTTGCCTTCTGCCTGCTACGTTTGAGGCAGCTCACTGTGCACCTGGGCTGCTGCTGCAGAGAGAAGCAGATCTATCTGCAGGTATGAACAAGGCCTTGTCTGTGTCTTCTGCTACAGGGGGAGCTGCGCATCAGCGTCTTGCCTGCCTACCTTTCATACGATGCACCGTGGCCCGTCCGGAAGATCCCACTGCGCTGCACCGCACATTACGTATCCTACCACGTGGAGTCCAAGGTAGGGCTGTGTGGAGCAGGACCTTCAGCAGGGCCTTCTTGGTGGTGGGGAAGTAGAGTCCTCCACTGTCACAACAAGGCCTTCTGCTCAACTCACACCCCCAAATGCCTTAATGGGTTTGCTCCCTCCGGCAGGTCTACGCGGTGGCCACCAGCATCAACAACCATTGCACCAGGATCCCCCGCATGACGGGCGAGGAGAAGGAATTTGAGACCATCGAGCGAGGTGGGTGGCTCGCAGCTGTTGGAAAACGCTGCCTCCTCTCTGCGGAGGAGAGGTCTTTGACTTGAAGAGTCAGCCCCTTGTGCTGGGCAAGTCTTGAGGTTGGGCTGCAAGATGGAGGGAGACAGGCTCTGGACTCCTCTCTCCCCCACCAGAAAGGGCCACCCAACCCCTTGGTTTGCCCTCCAAAACAAGGCAATCTGACTTGTTCCATCTAGCTCACTCTTGCTTTCTCTGGTTGGTGGTCGCTCTCCAGGGTCTCAAGGTGGGGAAATTAATAATTATAATTATAATTATAATTTATTATTTATACCCCGCCCATCTGTCTGGGTTTCCCCAGCCACTGTGAGTGGCTTCCAGCAGAATATTAAAATACAATAGTCCGTCAAACATTAAAAGCTTCCCTAAACAGGGCTGCCTTCAGATGTCTTCTAAAAGTTTGGTAGTTGTTGTTCTCTTTGACATCTGGTGGGAGGGCGTTCTACAGGGTGAGCACCACTACCAAGAAGGCCCTCTGCCTGGTTCCCTGTAACTTGGCTTCTTGCAGGGAGGGAACCGCCAGAAGGCCCTCGGCGCTGGACCTCAGTGTCTGGGCAGAACGATGGGGGTGGAGATGCTCCTTCAGGTATACAGGACTGAGGCCGTTTAGGGCTTTAAAGGTCAGCACCAGTGAATTGTACTCGGAAACATACTGGTCTTCCACATCCCCTGGTGCCTGATATTTAACCGGAGATGCTGGAGGCTTGGGCAGCCAAAGCAGGTGTGCACTCTCCGTGATGAGCCATGGCTCCTTGTGCCCCCCTCCTCTGCCCAGCTGGGTCTGATGGTGATGCCAGCTGCATACCTATTTCTCCCTTTGTCTCTCTCTCTCTCTGATCCCCACCTCCAGATGATCGCTACATGCACCCGCTGCAGGAGGCCTTTTCCATCCAGCTGATCTCTCCAGTCAGCTGGGAGACGATTCCAAACACCAGGTGAGGAGGGTGCTCAGCCCTTGGGCTTGTGGCAGCAGGAACACAAGAAAGCTCCTTCCCAGGCAGCGGCAGGTGGGGAAGATCTGGTGCCTGGTTGGGTTCCTGGCGTGGAATATCAGAAGAGGATGGCGGTTACTGCTGGATCAAAGCAAAGGGCCACCTGGTCCAGCATCCGTTATGGGTCCTGGAAGCAGAGCTGGAAAGCTTTAGTTCAGTGGTCCCCAAGGTTTTTGGGCCTCTGCCCACTTAGTCCCCCAGTGCTCCCTACCCTATAAAAAGCATTATTCGGAACAGCAGCTTGCATAACCCACTAAGGAAGAGAAAAACACAGTGGCCCCAGCTAAGGGTGCTTCATTCAGTCTTGGGGAAGGGCAAGAGGCTGCCTTTCTCTTGGTGCAGAGCCTGCACTCACTCTACGTGGGGCTGCCCTTGAGACTGACCCAGAAACTCCAGCGGGTGCAGAATGCCGCTGTGAGACTCCTTACGGGGTCCTCGCCGCGGGATCACATTCACCCAGTGCTATACCAGCTGCACTGGCTCCCAGTGGAGTACAGGATCAGCTTTAAGGTGCTGGTTTTGACCTATAAAGCCCTATACAGCCTAGGACCCTTGTACCTACAGGACCGCCTTGTCGAGTTGCAGCTCGGCATTCAGAGGAAAATCAGTCTCACACCAAGATAGGTTCCGAAATATGGCTGCTCCTAGGGCTTATGCAGCACAGCTTTTATTGTGTGAAATGTGTGAAATAGAAAGATACAAAAAATACAAGTCAAGCAATTTGTTCTAGCCAGCAGATAAAGACCTTGGTACTAGACTATGCGAGCGATCAGACCATACTACGTTAGCCAATCATATGGGACAGCACGAGCTGTTCACGTGCTGTTCATGCTCCAAGGATGCTTCTAGCTATGAGATCACCCTGTAACAATAAAAACTTTGCTCATGCTCTCATGTACAAACAATCATTTTCCCACACCGCCTCTCCTGGTATGTCCCACGGAGGACCTTATGGTCTTCAAATAAAAACATTTTGGAGGTCCCGGGCCACAGGGAGGTTAGGCTGGCCTCAACCAGAGCCCCGATCTGGTGGAACGCTCTGTCCCAAGAGACTAGGGCCCTGCGGGACTTGACATCTTTCCGCAGGGCCTGCAAGACTGAGCTGTTCCACCAGGCCTTTGGCCAAGGCACAGTCTGACCCCCTCCTTCAGTAATCCTCACAGAACTCTAGCCCAATGGTTGCCATTAATTTGATTTGAACTGATTTTATAATGAATTGATTTTAGAATGTTGTGTTACTTTTATTGTTAGCTGTTCTGAACCCAGCTTCAGCTTGGGAGGGCGGGATATAAATAAAAATTTATTATTATTATTATTATTATTATTATTATTATTATTATTATTATGGCACCCAGAACCTCTCCTGCCCTTTTTCAATCTGCAGGATCGACCTGGAGGAGTGGGAGCACGTGACCTGCATGAAGACCGTGTCTCTCAAGAGCGAGGAGACTGTCTCGGGCCTGAAGGGCTACATCGCCGTGGGGACTTGCCTCATGCAGGGCGAAGAGGTGACCTGCAGGGGCCGGGTGAGTCGGACAACACTGGGCGCTTGAACCAGAGGCAACCCAGCTGGGGGTTTCCTCTGCACAGTTCCACCCATCCTTCTCCCACAGTTCCTTCCTGCTGCCTTCACAGGCCCAGTCCTTGGTCCAGATTTCCCCAGTTTGGACACGTTAAGACTCATTCATCCATCTGGTGAACTGTGTGGTGGCATCAGGATCCAAGGAACACAATTGCAGAATTGTAGAGTTGGAAGGGACCCTTAGGGTCATCTAGTCCAGTGTTTCCCAACCTTGTGCCTCCAGCTGTTTTTGGCCTACAATTCCCATCATCCCTTGCCACTGGTCTTGCTAGTCAGGGATGATGGGAGTTGTAGGCCAAAAACATCTGGAGGCACAAGGTTGGGAAACACTGAATTAGTCCAACCCCCTGCAATGCAGGAATCTTAGCTAAAGCACCCATGACAGATGGACACCCAACCTCTGCTTAAAAACCTCCGAGGAAGGAGAGTCCACAACCTCCTGTGGGAGACTGTTACATTATCAGACGGCTCTTACCATCAGAAAGTTCTTCCTGGTGTTTAGTTGGAATCTTTCTTGTAACTTGAATCCATTGGTTCAAGTCCTACCCCCAGAGCAGCAGAAAACAAGCTTGCTCCCTCCTCCATATGACAGCCCTTGAGATATTTGAAGGCTATCTCCTCTCAGACTCCTCTTTTCCAGGCTAAACATACCCAGATCCTTCGACTGTTCCTCATAAGGCTTGGCTTCTAGATCCATGATAATCTTGGCTGCCCTCTGCACACGTTCTAGCTTGTCAACATCCTTCTTAAATTGCAGTGCCCAGAACTGGACACAATATTCTAGGTGTGGTAGGACCAAGGCAGAATAGAGCTATGATTTCCCTTCATTGGGACATTACTTCTGTTGATGCAGCTGAGAATAGCATTAGCTTTTTGGCTGCAGCACACTGCAACCTTATGAACTTGTACCTCCAAGCTTTTTCATTGTGCTCTGAAGAGGGTCTTGTATGTGTTCTGGGTTCTACAGCGAGTGCATGGAGAAGTGAGGCAAAGACCTGAAGGCTCAAAAACGGAAGTTACAACTCCTTAGTTGTGAACAGGCAAAGTTCTGCTCTGTGCCAGCTAATTGGTAATAATCCAGTCGCCCAGTGTGCCACCATATGACGCTGGAATCATTTACCTGCTGCGATGGCACCTTATACTGATGAGCACAGTTGCAATTTTGCAGTTCTCATTTAGTATTTTGTTTATCGCAAGAAGTCCCCGGTCTCCCGGCTTGCAACAGAGGAAGGGGGTGTTTCTAGGTTAGCAATGCAAAGCCAAGCTGCCCTGGTTATGTAGGATGACTCTCCCTTCCTTGCTCACCTGCCCTCAGATCTTGATCATGGACATCATCGAAGTGGTTCCAGAGCCTGGGCAGCCCCTCACCAAGAACAAATTCAAGGTGCTGTACGAGAAGGAGCAGAAGGGGCCCGTTACTGCTCTCTGCCACTGCAATGGCTACCTGGTGTCGGCCATTGGCCAGAAGGTGAGCAGGGCCTGGAAGAGGCGGGTGGGATGCCGCTCTAGGGGGCTTATTCAGTGTAGAATGTGGATTCGTTGCTCCTAAACGCTCAGCAGCCACCTTTGGGGTGGAAGCTTCTGTCGCCCTTTCAGTGTAGGTTATTCTGACTTACGTAGGCGGCTATGAGTATGCAGTCAGGGAGTTGCAATTATTCCTGTTGAGTTAATTCATAATATTGTGTGTGTGAGTTTGTGTGCACGATGTTGGCTCGTGAAGTTGGGAAGTTACGGAAGGTAGTTTGAGCACCTCAAGTTGAAACAGGATAGTAACCCCCAGGCTGCAAGGAGATGGCTCTGTGATGTGGACTCTGTTTATAGAGTGTAGACTTGGGGGTGTCTGGAAAGGAGACCTCTTCTTCCATTACAGTGGTTCCTCAGGTTAAGAACTTCATTTGTTCCAGAGGTCCGTTCTTAACCTGAAACGGTTCTCTTAACCTGAGGCGTGCTTTCGCCAATGGGGCCTCCTGCTGCCGCTGTGCTGCTGGCGTGCGATTTCCGTTCTTATCCTGGGGCAAAGTTCTTAACCTGGAGCAACCACTTCCTGGTTAGCGGAGTTTGTAACCCAAAGTGTCTGTAACCTGAAGCCTCTGTAACCCGAGGTACCACTGTACTGCTTTTATGTAAAAGCTTTCTGTACCGCTTTTCAGAGAGTTTCCCAGGGTGTGCTTTACAGATTGAAGATAAAGCGCAAATCAAAAGGGGTGGTTAGAGGGTGCAGAATGCGGAAGTGCCTTGCAGGGCTGGCAAGGTGAGCTTTCTGTGGTTTAGAGAAGGAATTGCTGAAAGACAGAACTTGAGGCATCAGCAACATGGTATAATGGAAAGATGGGGAGAAGAACCAACCCAGATCTTGTGATCATCACCTGTGTTTTTGTCTGCTACTGTGTTGTACATTTTTGAGTTTTTATATTGTAAACTGCCTTGTGATCTTTGGATGAAGGGCGGTATAGAAATTAAGTAAGCAAATAAATGGGAAGTGAGAGATGAGGTGGGGAGAAGGGCTTTCCTGTCCCCTTGCCCCCTGCCTGGACTGAGCCCTGGTCTCTCTCCCTGCTGCAGATCTTCCTGTGGAGCTTGAAGGACAATGACCTGACGGGCATGGCTTTCATCGACACGCAGCTCTATATCCACCAGATGATCAGCGTCAAGAACTTCATCCTGGCGGCCGACCTCATGAAGAGCATCTCGCTGCTGCGCTACCAGGAGGAGAGCAAGACCCTCTCCCTCGTCAGCCGGGTATGGGGCGTGGACCCTTTTCTAGAGGGTTGGCAGGGTGTGGGGCAGAGGAGAATGGGCCTGTTTGAGCCCTGCCCCACCTGGCTGACTTCTCCTTCTCTCTCGCCTCCAGGACGCCAAACCCCTGGAAGTTTACAGCGTGGACTTCATGGTGGACAACGCTCAGCTGGGATTTCTTGGTGAGCAGCCTGAGCGTGGCATTGGGGGAGCCCCTTCCGGAGGGTTCAGTCCAGCAGCCTTGGCTCTGCCCCAGGATGCTGGTGTTGGGGGCTGGGGAAGACTCAGACCCATGTCCAGGGCTTTTCAAGGTGGTGGCCCACCTGTGTTTTGAACAACGCAAACCCTTTCCCCTGCATTTGGAACAAGCCAAAACACGGAATTACAGTGGTACCCCGCAAGACGAACGCCTCGCGAGACGAAAAACTCGCAAAACGAAAGGTTTTTTCGTTTTTGAGTTGCCTCGCAAGACGAATTTCCCTATGGGCTTGCTTCGCAAAACGAAGCTTGCCCCGGGGACAGCGGGTCTTCTCTTTTGAAGCAAGGGGCGGCGGGGAGATCGCTTCTCCCCACCGCCCCTTGCTTCAAAAGAGGTCTGCCCCCGGACCTCTTTTGAAGCAAGGGGCTGCGGGGAGATCGCTTCTCCCGGTGCTCCGAAGCCGGGCGGGGGGGTGGGAACACCTGCCCCAGCCACCCCGCTTCGGAACGCTGCTCCGAAGCGGGGTGGGGGGGCGGGAACACCTGCCCCAGCCGCCGGGCTTTGTAGCGCTGCTGCGAAGCCGGGCGGGGGGCGGGAACACCTGCCCCAGCCACCCCGCTTCGGAACGCTGCTCCGAAGCGGGGTGGGGGGGCGGGAAACACCTGCCCCAGCCGCCGGGCTTCGTAGCGCTGCTGCGAAGCCGGGCGGGGGGCGGGAACACCTGCCCCAGCCACCCGCTTCGGAACGCTGCTCCGAAGCGGGGTGGGGGGGGCGGGAACACTTGCCCCAGCCGCCGGGCTTCGTAGCGCTGCTGCGAAGCCGGGTGGGGGGCGGGAACACCTGCCCCAGCCGCCGGGCTTCGTAGCGCTGCTGCGAAGCCGGGCGGGGGGGGGGGGCGGGAACACCTTCTGAAGGCGGGCGGGGGGCGAAAGTCTTTGTCCCCCCTGCCTGCCTTCCCAGGGGCTTTTAAATCGCCCCGGACAGCGGAGAAGTCCTCCGCTGTCCTGGGGCGATTTTAAAATGCCGCCCGCCAGCATTTTAAGATCGCCCGGACAGCGGAGAAGTCCTCCGCTGTCCCAGGGTTTTTTAAAATGCTGGGGGTGGGAAGAAAAGCCCTTGTCCCCCCCCCAGCCTTCAGAAGAGGTCCGGGGACAGTCTGTCCCCGGACCTGGTCTGAAGGCGGTTTCCCTAGGAACGCATTAATTGATTTTCAGTGCATTCCTATGGGAAACCGTGCATCGCAAGACAAAAAAACCGCAAGACGAAGAGACTTGCGGAACGAATTAATTTCGTCTTGCGAGGCACCACTGTATAGAATTGGAAGGGTCTGTTTAGTCCAGTTCTCTGCAATGCAGGAATCACAACCAAAATGACCACTCTGTTTAAAAGCCCCCAAGCAAGGGGCAGCTGTGTTTCTGGCACGGTCAGGCTACATCATTGATCTGTTTTACTCTATTTTGTTTTTTTTTTAAAGATATTTATTAAGATTTTCAAAATATTACAAAATGAAAAAAGAAAAATACAAAATAAAAATAGTTAAAAACAATTCCATCTTTCCATTACTTATCTTTCATTTGCTTGTTTCCTGGACCTCCTCACACCTCCCTTTTTTGTATTCCAGTTCAATTTGTTAGTTCAGCAAATCCTTTCCCTCTTTGTTTGTCCTAGTCTTTAATCTTAAAGTATTATAACATTAAATTTTTACCTGTTAATAATCCATTTTTTCATATTCCTTTATAGCATTACAGCTAAAAACCACTTAACTTCTTATCTAACATCATTCTAACGTTCATTAATTTTACAGTATTCCTGTAAGTAGACTTTAAAATTTTTCCAATCTTCTTCCACCGATGTTTTACTCTATTTTGCAGTGTCTGACAGGGACCGGAACCTCCTTGTTTACATGTATCTGCCGGAAGGTGAGATCAAAGTGTGTCTTCTTTTTTGGTTCTGGGGAGATTGGATCTGACCCTCTTCCTGTTTCCCATCACTCACGTGACTCCCAGGCTCGGGGAACAAGAATCTTGGGGCTTCCTGTTGGCAAGGAGTGCTGGGGCTTTTGGAAAGTGATGTTTGGGCCGGGTGGGCTTTCTCTGGATCTCCGGCTCAAGCTCCTACGTTGTCCCACACACCACATGGCCTCTGAGCCGCCTTCAACAGTCTGGTGCCCTCCAGCCACCCCTCTGCTGGGGCTGATGGGAGTCGTAGTTCAGCAGCACCCAGAGGGCGAAGGCTCATTGTCTCCCTCCCTCTTTGCTTTTCTCTCCAGCAAAGGAAAGCTTTGGGGGGATGCGCCTCCTCCGCAGGGCCGATTTCCACGTGGGAGCCCACGTCAACGCCTTCTGGAGGACCCCGTGCCGCGGGGCCATGGAGGGGCCCACCAAGAAATCCATTGCCTGGGAGAACAAGCACATCACCTGGTTTGGTAAGGGGGCCTCTGAAGGTGACACCTGGGGAGTCATCTTGGCCAGAGTCGAAGGGAACTGAGCCTGCAGCCTCTTTGCGTTTCAGGTTTAGAATTTCAAATTCTAAGATTTTAAAATCTGGGAAGATTTTGTTGTAAAATCCAGAATTCTATTTTTGAGTGTTGGCAACTGAATATAAATAAGGAAAGGACTTTACATTTGCGTGAAGACAGCTCAATTTTATGCCTTGGGAATGAGTTTGAAATTACCTACCCTTGTGACATTTTGAGTTTCCCATTCAAGAGCTTGCTGACACATTTGCACTTAATGCCAAGCCATGGTTTCTTCAGCAAGGCACAAGTCATCTCACAGACAAACAAAGCAGCCATGGCTTATTTCTCCAGAGCTTGGTTTCCTCCCCCAGCTGTTCTCTCCATGTTCCTCTGTAGCTCAGCAAGCAGCTGGGCTGGGCTGTCCGAACGATGGTTGAAGCAAAAGCAAGGCTGTGGGCTTCAGAAATAATGCCAACCAGTAGTTAAAACAAGCCAAGGTTGAGAAGCCAGAGACGGTCAATCATGGCCCCACATGGTGGTTTGTTGCCGGAACAGAAACCATGGTTAGTCTCCTGGGCTGAGGTGTCCTAACAAACCACGGTTTGGTGTTATGTGCAAACCATGGTGTACTTATGTGAGAGGGGAAATCCAGGTGCTCTTGGAGCCAAAGGCACCCGCTTGAGCCTTGACTCTGAAGGGGGTGTGTGGTGTTTCTTCCCCCCTCCAGCCACGCTTGACGGAGGGATCGGGCTGCTGTTGCCCATGCAGGAGAAGACCTACCGGCGCCTGCTGATGCTGCAGAACGCCCTGACCACGATGCTGCCCCACCATGCCGGCCTCAACCCGCGTGCCTTCAGGTAGCTTGTTCCTGGGGCTCTGCCTCTTCAAGGCCCCCCCGCCCCGATTGACCCCCCTCTGTGTGCCCCTTGAGGAGCAGCGCTGTTGGAGGGGAGGAAAGAGCCACCCACAGTCTCATCTATGTGCCTATGTTTGGTGGGAGGGGAGTCTGGCTCTGCAATCCCCTCCTGCACATACTGCTGTCTGCAGAGCGCCATGGGCCACTATGCCACCTGCGCCTTCCACACCATTCCCTGCAAGCAGAATCTGCCCGTAGGAAGACTGGTGGGATATAGGCCTTGCAGGGAGAGCACGAGACTGTTTCAGGGCCGATGGGTGACTTGGCTGGGGAGCAGAAGACCTTGCCTGTCCACATGTGGGATAAGCAGGCTGGCTGCCAAGTTCACCCCTGGGTTATGGGTCACACATAAGATCAGATTAGAAGACATCTGAAGGCAGCCCTGTTTAGGGAATATTTAATGCTGTATTGTTTTTAACACTGGATTGGAAGCCGCCCAGAGTGGCTGGGGAAACTCAGCCAGATGGGCGGGGTAGAAATAATAAATTATTATTATTATTATTATTATTATTATTATTATTATTATTATTATTGGATGTTAAAGGGAGGGGTTGTCAAGGTTTACCTCGCCTGGGCTGGTTCACTGCAGCGGAGATCCCTTTGTGGGCTGGATTGCGCACGCACCCACAATTTCTGGCGTCTGTGCAGAAGCGAGTCCCCGCACTGCGCTGGTTTAGTGCAGCGCCTGGGGACTTGCCGAGCAGGCGGCTTGGTTTGGGGGCAGCTCGTGGGGCTGTTAAATGACCTCTATGGGCCGCTTGTGGCCCATGGGCCTTAGGTTGCCGACCCATGGTTAAAGGATTACAAACCCATCACCATTCCTAACCAGTGGGCATGCTGCCTGCTGGAGATGGAGTCTAGCAGCAGGGGGAGCAGCTGAATGAGGCAGGGACCCCAGCCCTCCTCTCACGATGTTCCTCCTGCCCCTCCTTAGGATGCTGCACATGGACCGGCGCATCTTGCAGAACGCCGTGCGCAATGTCTTGGACGGGGAGCTGCTCAACCGCTACCTTTACCTGAGCACCATGGAGCGCAGCGAGCTGGCCAAGAAAATCGGCACCACACCGGACATTGTGAGTGGGGAGGGGGGAAGAGCCAGGAAGGCAAGGGTCACCTCCGCTGGCAGGGGCTGCTTCCAGCTCCAGAGCAGGCGAGGAACACAAATATCCTGACACAGTGTGCATTGTGTGCCTGCTGCACTGTGAGAAAACCAGCCTCTGTCTCGAGGGATTTCTTGCCCCGTTCCTTACAAAACTGCTTGGGTGGCAGCTCAAGCCAAGCAGCCTTGAGAGCAGCCTTTGCAGGAAATAAGGGAGGGAATCCTTTAGTTTTTATCAGGAGCATAATTCACTTACAGTGGTACCTTGCAAGACGAACGCCTCGCAAGACGGAAAACCCGCTAGACGAAAGGGTTTTCCGTTTTGGAGGCGCTTCGCAAAACGAATTTCCCTATGGGCTTGCTTCGCAAGACGACAGCCCATAGGGAAATCTCCGGGACAGCGGGGAAGTGCAGCGCGTCTTCCCCGCTGTCCTCGGACCTCCTCCGAAGGCTGGCGGCGGGGCAGGGACAGCTCCTCCCGCCGCCGCCGGGCTTCAGAACGATGCCCCAATGCCGGGCGGCGGGGACGGGGCGGGGCATGGTCACCGCCGCCGGCATTTAAAAGCACTCTGGGGAAAGCAGCGAAGCGCGCTGCTTTCCCCGAGCATCGGGAAGTCCGGCGGGGGTCCTTGGGATTCCCTCCCAGCCCCCGCCTTTAAAAGCACTCCGGGGAAAGCAGCAAAGCGCAGCGCGCTTTGTTGCTTTCCCCGGAGTGCTTTTAAACGCGGGCGGCTGGGAGGGAATCCCTTGGACCCTCGCCGGACTTCAAAAGAGCTGCGGGAAGTCCGGCGGGGGTCCAAGGGATTCCCTCACCGCCGCCCACCTTTAGAAGCGCTCGGGGAAAGCAGCGCGCTTCGCTGCTTTCCCCAGTGTCCTTTTAAACGCAGGCAGCAGTGAGGGAATCCCTTGGACCCCCGCCGGACTTCCCGCAGCTCTTTTGAAGTCCGGTGGGGGGAGAAGGGCTTTTCTTCCTACCGCCAGCCTTCAGAACAGCCTTCTGAAGGCTGGGGGTGGGAAGAAAAGCCCTTGTCCCCCCCCCCCAGCCTTCAGAAGAGGTCGGGGGACAGACTGTCCCCGGACCTGGTCTGAAGGCGGTTTCCCTAGGAACGCATTAATTGATTTTCAATGCATTCCTATGGGAAACCGTGCTTCACAAGACGAAAAACTCGCAAGAAGAAAAAACTCGTGGAACGAATTAATTTCGTCTTGCGAGGCACCACTGTATGTCGAGCTGGATTTGTAGCTGTTGTTATTGTAGTGCTTGGGCCTCTTCCACTCCCAGGTGGCTCTTGTGGCCTGTCAAGGTTGGCTAAGGCAGTGGTTCCCAATTAGCTAATGACTGAGGACCCCAGACCCCCTACTTTTGAAAATTTTGATAACTCTGCAAAGGCAGACAGCAGCAGGGTGGGGGCTCTGTGAAACTGCTGTACTGCGCAGTTTCCACTCCCCTCAGTTGAGCAGTTAACAGAGCCCACAGCTTGCTGCTGGCTTGTGAGAGCTGGTGATGGTGGGGGGGCTCCGTTAAAGTAGTCCTCCCCCCAGCTGTAGGGAGCCCCAATGCTTCTCCTGCTCATATGCAAACCAGAGAAACATTGGGCTCCTTCAGCTGGGGGGCAGGCTGCCTTCTGAGGCACTGGAGCTGTTCAGCTGGGGAACGGGAGGCCTCTTCCACCCCCCCCCAGCTGAACAGTTCTGCGAAGGATCAATACTCCTCGGCTCGCCCTTAAGCCTGAGAGGCATCAAGATCCGCTCCCTGGGCTGGGCCCTGTATCTTGGAAGAAGCAGCCGAGACAAATTCCAGTAATTGTGATATATCACCATATACTGGTATTTAGCTGCTGATGGATCACAATGTTGAAAACAAAGAATCGCCCAGCTCTAACACTAAACTAAATAATCAGAGGGCAGGCTGTTGTGCTAATCCTAGTGGCAATTTGCTTACCTATTTTCCCCTGTTGGACTTCCAAGATGAACCATGAACCCCCAAACCTATCAGGCAAGATTCACTGAAAACCCAATTCCAAGCAGTGGGAGACTCCTCAAAACCTGATAGTTGTGGAAAGCAATTAGAAGTTCTTTTCAGTTTAAAAAGTAAGGAACAAGGGGAAGGGATCCCTTACATTAAAAAAAAAAAGATAAGCATGTGAACCCGTGGAGCAATCCATTTGCATTCATTCTCTCTCTCTCTCTCTCTCTCTCTCTCTCTCTTTCTCCACTCCTCCAATTGCAAGAGCCCTAAGAAACTGTGTCAGAAGTTTGTGCCCAATCCCAGCTCACTTGCCATCCAGCAACTATTTCCCAGTTTTTCCCCTTCCAGCAAGCAAGCACTAGTCACGAGCAGAGGCTGGGTGATCCATGGATCACTATTGTGGCTTTCACTGTGCAATTAACAAGATAAGTGAGTCCCTGGCAAGGGATGGTGCCACGGATCCCCGGACCCCTAATTGGGAACCACTGGGCTAAGGGATCTGCGCCGTAACAGAAGACCGCCTTTCAAGGGGAAGTTCCTTGCAAGGGAGAAATTTCCCTCCTGGGCAATTCCTAATGACCCTCTTTCCCTACTTCCATCTACAGATCCTGGAAGATCTGCTGGAGATCGATCGCGTCACAGCTCATTTCTAAGGATTCCCCTTCCCCACAACTGCGCCCCTCGATTTGGCTGCAGGGGGCGGCCCAGCCTCCCTGTCTGCCCCCCCCCTCGGAACCCCAATGTTTGTAATGTCTTCCTGGCTGGGCTACAGGACTCTTTATCAGTTATGTGTTTTTATAAAGCTGGCAAGGATTTGTAAAGAAATTGTGAACTCGCAGTGATTGGGCTACCAGTTTGTGGAGCTGCATTGGCGAGATCTTGTGCCATGCATGTGTAGTACAGAGAGGTTGGCTGCAACTCATTGCTGCTGTTGAGGAAGCCGGTGGCTGACACGGCTTCATATGTTTGAGACCGGCTGCCAGCGTTTAGTGGTTTCTCTGTGTCCACAGGTTTGGGGGGGGGGAGAGAAGAAGATGATTTTGGATTTGATATCCCGCTTTATCACTACCCGAAGGAGGCTCAAAGCGGCTAACATTCTCCTTTCCCTTCCTCCCCCACAACAAACACTCTGTGAGGTGAGTGGGGCTGAGAGACTTCAGAGAAGTGTGACTGGCCCAAGGTGACCTAGCAGCTGCAGGTGGAGGAGCGGGGAAGCGAACCCGGTTCACCAGATTACGAGTCCACCGCTCTTAACCACTCCACCACACCAGCAGAAACCTGCCCCAGGATTGCCTTTCCCACAGTGTTCACAGAATCATAGAACAGCAATGCAGGGGTCACATCTAAAGCACCCCTGGCAGGCAGCCATCCAACCTGTGTGAAAAACCTCCAGCAAAGGAGAATCCATCTTCTGCAGCAGCCTGCTCCTCTGCTGAACAGCTGCACCCAACCTCTTCACATCCAGAGATACCCAATTTGCTTTGTCATCAGATGAACTCATCGCACCCGCCTCCCCTGTGGAGCAAGTTGGCCAAAACAGGCCTCCCTCCCTGGCCTCTCTGTCTCTCCCACTCCATTCTAATAATTTCAAGCTACATGGGGGAAGCTTCCCCACCAGAGTTTGAGCCAACAGAAGATACCAACCGAGGATAAAAACGGGGCATTTATTATCACAAGCTGTTTGCTGCAAGGAGTTGGGAACGTAGCTCCCGTTCAGCCCTGCTGCTAGCAGAATCTGAGGTGCAGGAAGGCTGCAGCCCACCCTTGCGCTGGTTCTGCCTAACGGATGACTGCAGAGGGTCTGGATCAGGTCCTGCATTTCTCACCGGTAATTTTTTTAATAGAAAAGTGGGAGAGCACCTTGTCCTCCTCTGCAGGCATGAAAAGCACCTGGTGTTAGAGCAAACTGGACAGGCCTTCAGCCATCCTCTGGCCTGGAGGCTGCGATCCAGCCTGCGGCAGAAGGTCGTAGCAGCAGCCGCTCTATGCCTTCAGGAACTCGTAGATCTCCCCCGGCTTCTTGCTGTCCTTCAGGAAACCAGCAAAAGCCAGGAAGCGCAGGACAGAGGTAGTGAGCTTTATGGCGGTGACCTGGAACCTGGTTTGGTTTTTTTAGGGTGGTGGTGGAAAGAGAGACGAAAAGATGTCAGCCAGTAACTGAGCCAGAGGTTTGAAATACCACAAAACAAATGAAATACTGTGAAAATCCCTGAAACGAGAAGTATTCGGCTAGAATTATCTTATGAAAATAAAACACAAAGCTCGTTTCACTGAACTATTCCGTTTCCTCAGAAGGAAATAGAAAAATCATAAACCTTAAATGAACAAAATTCAAAAAAAGCGGGTAGAACTCTCAAAAATTCTGAAGTATTATAATCCCAATGAAGCAATGAGCAGTAATAAAGGATTGAGGACTGTTCTGAGGAAATTGAATAGTTCAGTGAAACAAGGTTTGTAGCCGGCATCCTGTTAAGACTTTGTTCAATTTTAGGTTTTTCTAATTTTTTCCTTAAACTTTTTGATTTTTATTGTTTAGTTTATTTTCATAAGATAATATTTCTACTCAATTACTTCTCGTTTCATGGATTTTCACGGTATTTCATTTGTTTTGTGCAATTTCTCGGTTCTGTGACTGTCTTTTTTCTACAGAGTTTTGAAATTCAGCAGCCGTCATGAAAGCAGATGATGCTCGACTGTGACTCCCATAATCTCCGGCCAGCACAGCAGGGCTGGCTGTAAGTCTTGGTCCAACAACATCTGGAGAGCAACAGTTTGCATAAGGGACAGGGTTGGTTATTTAAATTGACTGGAGGTAGGCGTCATTTGCCAGGGCTCCCAGCCCAATATCTGGGGGGCACACAAACACACACACACCCCTTACCTGAGCGAAAACTCAAACACGAAGGTGTTCCAGGCCGCACGGATCCAGCGAACGAAGAAGATGTTGTTGATCCCTCCAGATCTTTGGCTAATCATGTGACTCCAGCATCTCACCGCACTTTAAAAGAGACAGACAGACACCAGAGTCTGAATCCTGGTGGTGGTTTTTTTTGGGGGGGGGGGGTTGCAGGGAGCAAGAATCACTCAGGGCATAAATTATTGCAACTCACTCTACGTGGGGCTGCCCTTGAGACTGACCCAGAAACTCCAGCGGGTGCAGAATGCTGCAGCGAGACTGTTTACGAGGTCTTCGCTGCGAGATCACATTCACCCGGTGCTATACCAGCTGCACTGGCTCCCAGTGGAGTACAGGATCAGGTTTAACGTGCTGGTTTTAACCTTTAAAGCCCTATACGGCCTAGAACCCTCGTCCCTACGGGACCGCCTCTCCTGGTATGTCCCACGGAGGATCTTACGGTCTTCAAATAAAAACATCTTGGAGGTCCCGGGCCACAGGGTGGTTAGGCTGGCCTCAACCAGAGCCAGGGCTTTTTCGGCTGTGGCTCCGATCTGGTGGAACGCTCTGTCCCAAGAGACTAGGGCTCTGCGGGACTTGACATCTTTCCGCAGGGCCTGCAATACTGAGCTGTTCCACCAGGCCTTTGGCCAAGGCACAGCCTGACCCCCTCCTTTGGCAATCCTCACAGAACAGCCCAATGGTTGCCATTAATTTGATTTTGAATTGATTTTAGAATGCTGTGTTACTTTTATTGCTGTTAGCCGCTCTGAGCCCGGCTTCAGCTGGGGAGGGCGGGATATAAATAAAATTTTATTATTATTATTAAAGGCATAAGAGGTGGCTGCTGGATCAGGCCAAGGGGAGCCCATCTAGTCCAGCCTCCTGCTCTCACAGCGGCTGAACTAGATGCCCATTCTGGGAAACCATGCAGGATCTGACTACAAGAGCCCCTCCTTGTGGCTTCCCACCCCCTCACCTGTGGGCCATGATGTAGTATCGGTCCACGGGGGTCCCCAAGGCCACGTTGATGCCCCGGACGGTGTTGATGTTGCGGAAGACGAGCAGCATGGAGCGGGGCAGGTCCTTCAGCACCTGCATGATGCGGTCAAAGCGGTTCTTGGCCATGTCCTGCATGTAGGCCGTCTCCTCGCGAGTCAGCACGTTGGACAGCACCAGCTGAGCCATGTTGATTGGCCGCTGCAGCAGCATCTCGCAGAACAGGAAGTAATCCTGGGCTAGGGGAGAGGAGAGGAGGAGCTTAGGCGCCAAGGGCCACACCCACAATGAGCACAGGGGAACGGTGCAAAGGCAGGAGAAACCGTAGAGGCAGAAAGGGACTCCCAAGGGCCATCTGGTCTAACCCCCTGGAAAGCGGGAAGTGGCTCAAGTCAGATCTCGCCTCTGCCAGGAATGGAGGCCAGCGGCGGCTTCAGGAAAGCCAGCCCATCTGCATCCCGGGGATCATAATACTGTTAAGGAGAGAAGCGAGCCTAAAGCTGGCCGCTCCAAAACAATTACTGTATTTTTCTCTCTGTAGGACGCACTTTCCCCCCTCCAAAAATTAAGGGGAAATGTGTGTGCGTCCTATAGAGCGAATGCAGGCTCCTTGGCTTCAGCGATAGCAACGGGAAGCCTCCGAAGCGCAGAGGGAGCGCTCCCTCCCCTCTCGCTCTCCAGGCTTCAGGGATAGCCGCCTGAAGCCTGCGGAGCGCTGTTGTGCTCCGCAGGCTTTGGGTTCCTTTCCCCTTCAGCTAAGGCGCAGCTCCCCTTCAGCCAAGCGGGAGGAGAAATGGAAGGGGCTCCGTTTCTCCTGCCTCTTCGCTGAAGGGGCGCTGAGCAGAGAGGGGGAGATTTATTTATTTTTTGTTCACCCCCTCTAAAACAAGGTGCGTCCTATGGTCCGGTGCGTCCTATAGAGCGAAAAATACGGTACTCACATTTTATTCAGGGGTTCTGTTCCAAGTACAGTCATACATCGGGTTACAGCCGCTTCAGGTTGTGTTTTTTCGGGTTGCGGACTGCTGAAACCCGGAAGTACCAAAACGGATTATCTCCGGGTTTCGGCAGTTGCGCATGCGCAAAGCGCTGAATCGCAACCCACGCGTGTGCAGCCGTGAGTTGCGAACGCTGCGGGCTGCGAATGTGCATCCCGCACGGATCACGTTCGCAACCCGAGCATCCACTGTATACACAAAAAGGTGTATTCTTCTAGGAGCAAACTCCATGGCGTAACCCTGTGCTGGGTGAGGGACCACATTCTTCCAATGTTCAGATTTGCTGGTTAACCCCCTTTGGGGTTCTGTTATGAGGGAGGGAGGAAAACCCACAGCCGCTTTCTCATTTCCAAATTAGCTAGGAACGGGGAGGAAATGCACAAAGAACCTGTTCTCCATGGGAGCTGTGTGCAGAGCAGGTGTCAACCAGCTCCATCTGGTACACAGGATGAGACCCTACCTGCCCGCAGACTGTCTCGCCAGAGTGGTGCATGCTCTGGTTATCTCCCGCTTGGACTACTGCAATGCGCTCTATGTGGGGCTACCTTTGAAGGTGACCCGGAAACTACAACTAATCCAGAATGCGGCATCTAGACTGGTGACTGGGAGCGGCCACCGAGACCACATAACACCGGTCTTGAAAGACCTACACTGGCTCCCAGTACGTTTCCGTGCACAATTCAAAGTGTTGGTGCTGACCTTGAAAGCCCTAAACAGCCTCGGTCCAGTATACCTGAAGGAGCATCTCCACCCCCATCATTCTGCCCAGACATTGAGATCCAGCTCTGAGGGCCTTCTGGAAGTTCCCTCACTGCAAGAAGCCAAGTTACAGGGAACCAGGCAGAGGGCCTTCTCAGTGGTGGCGCCTGCCCTGTGGAATGCCCTCCCATCAGATGTCAAAGAAATAAACAACTATCTGACGTTCAGAAGGC